AGTTCTCAGTATCGGTGTCGCTGTCAGAGACAAGGCTACATCTAGAGGAATCCAAGGTGAAGGGACAGTGGTGACAGAGCTGGGTGGTGAGCCTGGATGGGGGAGGGGCCTGAATTTGGAATATGAGCCCCATCTTAACACACTCATCTCCCTCAGAGCTTTAGGCAAAACCTGCAGCCCCAAGGGCCTGATAGCCTCAGGTGGCTTCTACTTCTGGGGTGTAGCTATGGCAACTGTCCTTTCAGGTTTTCTAGGTCAGTTCTACATGTTGTGCAATCTTATTATAGCGCATATGATATCGGGCATAAAACTGCAGAATGTGAAGGCTATGTGGCAGCAGCAGGGCTGACGTGTCTAACGGTGTTAATAGGAAGTGGCTGTTCCATTTATGTTTCTGCCCTTTGGAGGTTTTCTCATCGGTATGATCCCCATCCAGACCTTCTTCCTGCTGCAAAAAGAGGGCACAGGAAAAGCACAAAGTCACAGATGTGAACTCACAGAAGGTCAAGCACACAGGCTTTGGAATAAAACAGACCTAGATGCAACACCCCACGCCATCAGTCAGAGCTGGGCGGGGTGGGGGTTAACATCTTCAAGGCGCTCCTTTCTTATTAAAGAAAGAAAACACACAACACACACACAGAAAGAGGAGAGAGAAAAAGAGACATGATCGCATCCCCTGGCCACTTCCCAAATGCCTACAATGGCTGGGACTGGGCCAGGCTGAAACTAGGAGCTAGAAGCAGGGAACTCAATCCAGGTCTCCCATGTGTGAGGCAGGAACCCAGTCGCAGGAGCCATCACTGCTGCCTCCTGGGGTCTGCATTAGCAGGAAGCTGGAGTCAGCAACCAGAGCCAGGAATCAAACCCAGGTACTCAAATGTGCGACCTGGACATTTTAATCGGCATCTTAACCACTAGGCTAAACACCCTTCTCATTTTTAGATGGGGGTGATAATACCTATTTCAAAGTGTTATTGATAATTAAATGAGGTAATCTATGAAATGTGCCCACTGTACTATCACACAGCCATATTCCCATATTATCAGTATTTTTATAGTAGAGTGTACAGAGCACAGAGCTAACCACTGCACCACCAAACACAGGACACGGCAGGGAGGTACTGTCAGCAGCACACACCAGAGGCAGCAGGTCTCCTGGTAACACGGCTGGTCAGGCTCAGAACTGAAAGTGAATGAGCATGGTCAGATATTGAGCTGTCTGCAGGGACCAAGGGTATCCCTGGCTCAGCTGAACTTGGCCAATATAAAAGACAGCAAATACAGACTGTGCCAGAAAAGGAGATTATTCTCTAAATAGCTTAAGTAATTTGTGGTGCAGGACCAGCTTCCAAAAAAAAAAAAAAAAGGCTTCCATTAAAATACAAAATCGCACGATAAAAGTACCGTGTCTATGTCAAAAGGCAATTAAAGGGGCTGAACAGCAGATTAAACTGCTGCTTGCAATGCTGGCATCCCACATCAGAGTGCTGTTTTGAATCCTGGTAAACTCAGCTTCTAGTCCAGCTCCCTGCTAACGGATCTGGGGACACAGTGGATGATGGGCCACATCATACTTGGGCCCTTGCCGTTCATCTGGGAGACCAGAATGGAGTTCCTGGTTCCTGGCTTTGTCCTGGCTTAGACCTAGCTGTTGTAGCCATATGGGGAGTGAACCAATGGATTCAAGATAGATTGTTCTCTCTTCTGCACTCTGCCTTTCAAATCAATGTATAAATATATATGTTTTAAAATTACAACTTTCTAAATGCTGACTTACAGTTTCTGGATTTACCTTGTTGAGAGCCAGTGACCAGCAATACTGAACTCACTGTAGCACTACTTTAAGAAGTCTTGTTCAATTGATTGTTCTTGTGTGTGCCTATTGTGGTCATTGCCATTGTGTTTGCTAATTGTTTACTGAGCATTTAAATCAGTCATCCTTCAGGTGATGTGCAGCCTTGCCATCCACAAGTTCGCTCATATTAGCCAAGAAACACACGTGGTTCCCATCCAACGGTGTCAGCTCAGACACGCCCACACTGTGCCAGGACTCCTAGGAAAACACGCAGTGAGGGTACAGACAATGAGGGCCCTGAATTTGGAAGTGGGTCCCCAGAACTCCCCTTCAGCATACTCTTTTCCCTCTAAGGTTTAGGCCAAACCCTATGTATAATGATAATAATAATAATTATATCACAAATGTTATCATAAAATATTTTCCTCCAAAGGGCAGAAATATAGATGAAATAACACTTCCTTTCTAAGCCTATTAATCCTTCCGTTGTCTTCCCGAAGTCTCAACATAAAGAATCTCTCAAGAAGTCTGTCATGAATAATTTTGAGAGTTACAGTGCAGGGACCTAGAATAGGGAAGCCATAACTCACATGACTCATCTTCCCCCCACATTGGTAAAATGTTGTTTGATCAGGCCTGACTTCACACATCCTGTCCCCCACATGGCACCAGTGCCCACTTCTCCGCAGCTATGACCTCAGATTCCAACTGTCAACTGGATATTTTTGCTTGAACCCCCTGCCATCCTCCAAATGCAGCATGCTCGAAATAAACCACAATTTATTCCCCCGCCTCCTCCCTCAAAGAGACCTGGCTTCCTAAATCCCTATTTGCACTCAAGGCACTTGGCTCTGCTGTAGACAACCTGGAGTAGCATTAGACTCCCAGGCCCACTTCTCTCTCACAGGGGAGCTGGAGCCGGATGCCCCTCCCAGTTCTCCCAGGTTAAATACCTCTCACACTTGGTCCACTATTTCATTCTCCTAAGGAACCACCCATCTCCTTCCCTCCAACTCTGTGTGTACCAGATTAGTTTCTTAAAATCTATTGTTGTGCTTTCAATCTTCTGCTCACAAAAACCTTTACTGACTCCAGAAAAGAAGATGTAACATCCTCAACCAAGGTTGAGGACAGGACTCTCTCTGACGTGGTTTTCCCGACTCCGCGGTGCCTGCAACCGCTTCCCATTGCCAAGTCTCCACTGCAACTTAGGCGTTCTTCTCCCCGAGCTCCAAATCTTCTCAGCCAGGAGGACCCAGAGTTTTGCCTTCCAGGTACCTTATTCCTACCCATCCACCAAAACTAAGCACAAATAGCTCTGCCACAAAGCCACACACCTCACCCAACCCACACCCAGCTCTTGGCTTCTCTGAACACCACTTGTGGATCCCATGCACGTTCCACATCTTAGCACAACTCACACCATTAGCTGTCTTTACCACACACGCCACTAGTGTCCAGACACTTGCCTTTTCTTTGTGCCCACACCTCTCGCACCACCAGCTAGGGCTGTGCATGTCGCAGTGGGGCAGGACCCATCCGGCGGACTGAAGAGCCAAAGAAGGCAGGAGCCCCTGGGGAGAGAGAGACGTCAAGGAAGAGAACAGGACAGGAAGAGAGGAGAATTTTTCTCTTGAATGCCTGGGGATGCTGTTGGCCCATGCTAGTGCTCAGATTCATAGACTCTTTGAGCTGAATCGGCCTTAAAAAATCTTTGGGTTCAGTTATGTGATGCTGACTGTGAAGACTGATTAAAAACTGGGAATGACATGGCTGGCCCAGAGAAAACAATCAGCAAGGACAGGCACCGTGGACCAGCCACGGGCCGTCAGGGTCTCCCTCCACACCCTCTGCCCCTCAGCTTTGTCACTGTAAGCATGAATGACGTAATGCTTCCCCGAGGAGCCCCGTGAATATTAAAGGAGATGACGTGTGTTAAGTGCTCAGTGGTTGTTAGGGAAGACATCCCTGCCCCTCCTACACCACAGAGATGTGCTTTCAAACACGGAAAACGGAACTTCCCAAGGGCTGATTTCAACCTTCTGCATCTGGGCCTCCACATCTGTGGGCCCTGGATTCGACCAGCCATGGGTCAAAAGTACCCCCAAAAAATCATTGTGTCTGTGCTGAACATGAGCAGACTTCTTTGTCTTGTCATTCACAAAATAATATGGTGTAACAACTATTTAGATAGCATTTACTTTGCATTAAGTAGTACAAGCACCCAAGAGGTTATGCGAAGCATAACACAAGGAGATGTGCGTAGGTTCTATGCAAATTAGACCACTTCATATAAGGAAGACGAGCATCTGCAGATGTTGGTATCTGCGGGGATCCTGGAACCAACCCCCCACAGAATCTGAGCGACAACCGTAACCGGTTGTGAGTGGGAGGTTGCTGAGGTCGGACTGTTTGTAATTCACACGGTAAAAACCTAATCACCAAGGTGATGGTAATAGAAAGCGGGGTCTTTGGGGAATGATTGGGACCTGAAGGCTCCACTAGGTGAATAGGATCAATGACCTTATCACAGAGGCCCCCGAGAGCTGTCTTCCCTCTCCACCACGTGAGGACACATAGCAGGTGCCACTGTGAGGAACGGGCCCTCACCTGATGCTGAATCTCCTAGAGCCTCAGTCTTAATTTCCCAGCCTCTAGATCTGTGAATAATGCAGTCTTATTCATAAATTACCCAGTTATAGTATTCTATGGTATAGTGGCCCAAATGGACTAAGAGAGATGTTATAAGCCTATCGACATCTATAACGACCCCCTATTTCTATTTGGGGTAGTGATGTAAAATGTTTTTCTAACTGTGGGTCACAGTCAAACAAGTGTGCGAGCCCTTGGATTTAAGCTCTCTACAAATAAATGTGAAAGGGCAGAGGACTGAGTGCTACGACAAGAACGATCTCACCTCCCACCTTCTCCAGACCTTGGTTTGCCATTGCTGTCACGGTCCTGGTAATCTTTTCTTAATTTTAAGAAAATTAAGATTAATTCTCTGATATGTAACACAGACCATTTCTGCTTCAGAAAACAGAGAAGATTCCCCAGCCTGCAGGTCTAAATTATCTGTGCCAACGACCAGGGCCAGTGAGCGTCGTTCCCCAGCACACAGAATGCTCTCAAACCTCCAGGGAAGGGGAGCTTCTGACCTGGAAAGCCCTCTCAGCTGCTTACTGTGTCTTGGCTTTTGCAGTGATTCTGTCACCCACATTGTAGCAGAGAACAACTCGGGTTCCGATGTTCTGGAATGGCTTCAGGTACAGAAAGTTAAAGATAGCTCCCAGCTCGAACTCCTCGACGTCTCCTGGCTGATAGAATGCATGGGAGCAGGGAGACCCGTGGAGATGACAGGGAAGCACCAGCTTGTTGTAAGTATCACGGCTGTGGTTGTCATCGCCGTTCGCTTGGTGGCTACGAACACGAGCTTTACAACTTCAGCCCCGGGCCGCGCCCCAGCTTCTCTGCTTGCTCCCTGTGTGGCCCTGCTGAGCTGCCGCTCCCTCCTCTGTTAACACGAGATGACAACAGTGCCTACATGATGGTCAGGAAGGTCGGAATAACACTGCACCTGCTACAGAGCAGACACTGAATAAATGGTAGCTGTTTTTATAAACATGTCTACACACAACTTTTTAAAACATATGTAAGTCCTAATATTCCGGCAGCCAGAAAACAGAGGGTAGCTATTTTTCTCTAATTATCATTATTCAGAAAGAAAATAATAAAGTTAAGCTCTTAATGCCAAGTCCTCAATCAATAGTGCTAGAACTGTTGGGAAGGGGGCTTGGACCAGGATTCCACAAATTCACAGGAAAGAAAGATGATATTTAATTGGTAGCTCTTTCTCATTTTTTCTGATTTCAAAAATTATTCATGCTAATGATAGAAAACTAAAATATCAGAGATGTGCAGACACTAAATTTGGGCCTTCTTTAAGTTTTAAAATGTTATTCTCAAGGCACACAGAGACCCGGAAACAAAGAGCTCCCACCCACTGGTTCACTCCCCAAAAAACAACGGGCAGATTTGGGCCGGGCAGAAACCAGAGGCCAGGAACTCAATTTAGGTCTTTCACACGGGTGACAGCGACCCAAGCACTTGAGCCATCAGCAGCTGCCTCTCAGGGTCTGCACTGGCAGGGAGTTGGAAGCAGGCGTCAGAGCTGGGAACAAAACCCAGGCACTGCGATATGAGATGTGGACACCTTAACCATTCGGCCAAATGCCCACCCTGAGCCTTCTAGAATTTTATCTTCCTTCCAGAGACAGCTACCATCAAACTACCTCCAGTCTTTTCCTCTGTACATGTCCCCATTATTCCCATAATTGTTATTAAAAATGAGTGCTTCTGTATTTGTCCAGGTAAGACAAGACTACCCAGCTAGTCCCAACCCAGGCTCCCAGGAGGCTCCAGCACTTGCTGTGCACAGGATCTCCGAGTACGCGTGTAAGAGGAGAACCACTCTGAACAACTGTAACCGCATATTCACGGTAACCAACACCCACAGCCAAGGAAGGGCTTGCTCACGTCAGTTATAAACTTTTCTGAAAATCTGGAGACGCCTCCCCCACACCTACCCACCCCTGCCTGATCTCTGGTCCTTCTTTCTGCCAGAAATGGGTCACCATCTTTCATGGAAATGGATAAATACTGTTACATTACATTCTATAGAGACACTGGATTATCGTTTAATGAGAGGTATCATGAGTGGGCACACCACTAATCAAAGACAAATATTCTGAAAATCCAAGTATGGTGATTAGTGTAAAACATTAAGAGCAAATGACAAAAAGTAGCAATAGTGAATCAACTGCACTTCCTGGGCAATCACAAGACAGGGCTGCCCTGCATTCCAGCCTCTCTGGTCCTGACGAGGCGTGGACAAGTCAAGTCCTCTCTGAGCATCAGTTTTCCTACCTGTGTAACAGGAAACCAGCCAGGTCACCTCTAAAGCCATGCCCGGCTGTGAAGTGGGGTCACTGTGTTTCCAATGACCTGAGCAAGTCCACAACTGCTAGTCCCCTAGCCTCGAGTCAGTGGCCAGCTGGAGTAAACTTGCAGTAGCACGGTCAGATGCGTGTCAGCTCCACGTGGGTGAGGAAGTGCAGGAAAGAGCAGTGCCTGGGCGTGCTGAGCGTGATGTCCCAGGCGGCAACTGCTTCCTCCTCCGCCAGCAATGCACACGTGCCCCATCTTAAATGACTCTCGGCCGGCGCCGCAGCTCAGTAGGCTAATCCTCCGCCTTGCGGCGCCGGCACACCGGGTTCTAGTCCCAGTCGGGGTGCCGGATTCTGTCCCGGTTGCCCCTCTTCCAGGCCAGCTCTCTGCTGTGGCCAAGGAGTGCAGTGGAGGATGGCCCAAGTGCTTGGGCCCTGCACCCCATGGGAGACCAGGAGAAACACCTGGCTCCTGGCTTTAGATAGGTGCGGTGCGCCGGCCGCGGCGGCCATTGGAGGGTGAACCAACGGCAAAGGAAGACCTTTCTCTCTGTCTCTCTCTCTCACTGTCCACTCTGCCTGTCAAAAAAAAAAAAAAGACTCTGAACTCGGGTCTATATGCCCCAGGAGCACACCCATTCGTTCAAGTCTAGGTTAAGTGCTGCCTGTGTTTTATGTGCAAGCCAAGAGATGAGAATGCGCAGTGACCAAGGCAGAAGCCTGGCCACAGGCTGGTGGGGACCACAGCAGAAGAAAGGATAGGATGTGGTGAGCAACAGATGGAGTTTTTGGTTAAACCATTGCTGAGTGTCTATGGCAGGGAACTCAGAGTTCCCTCACAAGGCACTCTGAAGCCTGTATTTTCAGTTCAAGTCTACTCCATCCCACAAGGGAGGTGCAAAGATATAGGGATCTAATTCTGGCCTTGAAGGAAGTGGACAGGGGCAGGTGTTGTGCTAATAATTAAAGGAGAGCAAGATGCATTCACAAGTGGCTGCTGGCTCCAGGTCTCAGAAACAGACCCATAACTTACTTCATTATTATTACTATTATTCAGGATGCCTTTGAGATTTTGGCTGAAAATTCTGAGTTCAGAGAAAATGAGGATTCTTACGTGACATTTATAAGAGCAGCTTCGGTCCTGAAATCTCTACCGTTCCCAATTGTCAGTATGAAGGACACAGAAGGAATTCCCTGCCTGGGGGACAAGGTGAAGGGCATCATAGAGGTAAGGGTGAAACGGGATACGTTCCACCCCCTAATAGGCATATGGCGGGGGAGGGGACAGCTAACAGAGTTTCTTGTCAATTACAAAGATGTGGTGTTCATGATTTACTTTTCTTTATAATTACATATGTATTTCTCTGTGTATCTTTTATGTGTCTATCTTGACACACACATATATGTTGAGATGGATGCACATATATGTATAATCCTAATCTCAACAGTATCACAGCAGGAGCTACATGAAGCCAGCTAATGGAGAAAGAGCTCTGGGCACAGGGGGGATATGACGTGCAGTGTTGCTGATTCTGCATCTCTCCCCTGTTCCAGGAAGAGAGCCAGGGTGGTGCCGATTTATTTAATGACATTTAAGGCACGGCAAGTTGGCTGTCTAGTAGTAAGTTTCACTACTGTCAGGTGCAAAGCACATTACTGAAGGAAAGTAATCCCAGCTCTGGCAGAGGGAAGGTGGCCCTGAGCTAGATGGCCTATGGACTTGAACATGGACTGGCTTCTCAGTGGATACAAATTAATTAATTAATTCCAACAAGTTGATGCCCACTGAAAAGAAAATAACCACAAATACATTTGTGTATTTAATAATAATAATAATTTGCACACATTTGTCGGTGGATGTTTGGCTTGGGATCCTGTAATTTAGGACCTATTTGTTCTGCGTTGTGATCCCTCAGAATCATAAAGGAGTTTTAGATGTCAGATGAGCCAGGATTTTTGAGATTACAGGGAAACTTTTTTCTGTATCAGCCAGAGAAACATAATGCATGCAACAGGTGCCAGTTTCATGAGAAATCAGTGAATGGAGAGTCTCAGTCTGAGTGCCCAGCTTCACTAACTTAAAATATTTTTTAAATCACCCATGCAGGAAATTATTGAAGAAGGAGAAAGTTCTGAAGTTAAAGCTGTGTTAAATGATGAACGATATCAATGCTTCAAAGTAAGTGATTTTATATGTGTTTTATTTAAAAAGCGGAATGACAGAGAGGGGGGAGAGAGAGATCTATCTCCTCTCCATTGGCTCACTCCCAAAATGGCCACTATAGCCAGGGCTGAAGCCAGGAGCCAGGAACTCCATTCTGATCTCCCATGCAGGTGGCATGGGCCCACATAACTGGGCCATCTTCTGCTGCTTTCCCAAGTGCATTAGCAGGGAGCTGGTTGGGAAGCAGAGCAGTCAGATCTCAAACCAGCATTCATATGGGATGCTGGTGTTGGCTTAACCCAATGTACCACAACACTGGCCCCAGGTGGAAGAAACTTCTGCTAGTCCTTTGGATTCAGAAATCATGCAAAGGTCTAAAATGTGACTGTGAACCACAGTCCAGGTAGATTGGGGTTTAAGTCCAGGCTCTGCTACTTGCCAGCTGGGTGATGGTGAAGAACTTACATAGCCTACATGAGCATCCCTCTTTGAAATATGAAGGCAGATATGCAGCACATGGCTGTGTGCAGAGACTCCAGAGAGACAAGCATGGCAGGGATAACTTCCCACACATGCGAGCACAGACAAGCCCTCCACAGATGCCATAACCTGCCTCGCACTTCTGTTTCATTTCATCATATCCTACGTCACGAAAGGACTCGCCCCACACAAAATTACCATCACCCACCTGCTTGTCACATGCAGAAGAAACTGGTCCAGGGGTGGCCTTGTACCCGCTCTCATTGCCTGAGTCCTTGAAAGGCACCAAAGTTGTTGCGATGGTTTCAGACACCAACAGCATGCCTTCCTCTCCATTTCAGCTCTTCACTGCTGTATTCGGAGTGGGGTTGAAGACCTCTGAGAAGTGGTTCAGGATGGGCTTCAGAACTCTGAGTAAAATAAGGGAAGACAAAAGCCTGAAATTTACACGGATGCAGCAGGCAGGTAAACGTTCCTCCTGAGTGTGGTGGCTGCTCTGGGTTGGCCAGGCTGGGGCAGAGGAGGAAGTCAGCCACCCTCAACTCCAATGTGGATGAGCTGGGACACTTTTCTGGTGTCTGCTGCTGCCTGGGTCCAAATCCTGGCTCCAGCACTTTTCAGCGGCGTACCCTTGAGCAAGTGGTGACCCCGTCCATAAAAGGGAAATGACACTGGTACTTAAGTGGGGAATCAATCAGATAAGGCGAGTGAAGCCGTCAGCCCCCTGCCTGATGCCTCATGGTGGCTGTGAGGTTTGTTCAGTCTCACACCAGGCTGCACTGCAGATCTGCTTCTTTCAGACGCTTCCAGACAGTCCTGACTCCCTGGCTAAGGATCACACTGGGAGCGCTGGGAGTAACGAACGCTTGGGGAAATGACAGCTGCTGCCGCCACAGCTGTAACTGTGCTTTAGTTAGTTTAGTTTAGAAACATAAAGGGATTGGGAAAAGGTGGAGGTGTAGACACAGAGTGGATATACCCAACAAGGGCTCCTCAGTTTAAGAAGATCGTAGGGGACACATGAGCGCTGTTAGCTGGCAGGAACTCCCAGAGGACACTTCTGTTTATGGAGGATCTCAGTATATGTTTTTTAGAAAAGAAAAAGAATGCCAACACAGGATCATAAAGATCGGGTGTGTTCTAAATGTTTCACTTAAATACCCAACAGAAACACAATGTAATCATGATTTCCAAAGGGAGTCAAAGCCACTGTCCCCAGCACCATGACTTCCGGAGTCACAGGGAATGATGATGTCATCAACATTTATAATGATAGGAAAGGAAGGGAATTTTCTACCAGAGGAGACTGGAAAAAAAAATAAGTAAAAACAATGTGAATCGCTATCTTCCTCTGAAGTGATGACAAAAGTGGGAACAGGCAGTGGGCAAGGAAGTGAATCGGATCCTGGTGGGTCCCATCTGCGTTCCTGCAGAACACCCCATCCATCCTTTCCAAGTTGCTCACCTCTGAAACAGTGCTCATTAGCTTCATTCAATGCCATATAGGAGATAAAAGAGCCTAAGGAAAAAAGACTCGGAATTTATATCTGGACTTCTGAGAGTGCACATGTAATAAGCATGGCATATACTAGCTCTAGAGATACCATTGAAAGAAAACTCGCTTAGTTATTGAGTCTAAGGAACAACAAATGGTTGGGAATAGTAGCAAAGGCTCTTTCACACTTACAGAGCAACTGGGAGGCAATGTGGTGCTTCACTTAGAAGAAACTCTTATTAAGTGATATCAAGTACTCTCGGGGCCTGAGGAGTTTCCAATTCCCTAGCCTTATAATTGGATTTTTCCTTTCTTCTTTGGCTTTTCCAGCCCAGTGAATGAAGAGGCTATTATTCATCTAAGAAATCAGACTGGTTAATGTTATTCATTCTATGTAGAAATCTAGGAATGCTCCCATCATACTTACACTCCCCCCCCCAAACTGGCCATGTGCACCCCTTGGAGCAGCACTATAATAAATGGAATTGTCAAGGAGAATGGCTCAGAATCCTGCAAGGGCAAGCTGAGCACGCTGAGGGTATGGTTCATGGTCAGCTGGCACACTTGATGCAGTTTTACTTACAATTGCTCTTGACTGCCGTTCCCTGAGGTTTGAGCATTCACACGCCACATTTGCCTTGAAACGTCAATGTCTGAAAGACAGCAACACGCATTTAACATGACACAGGGTGAGTTTCTCGTCATAAGTTAACTGCCTTGCCATACCAAAAATGGAAAGCCAATCAAATTGCTTTCATGGAAGTCACTGTCACAGGAGAAAAGAGCCGTGGAAACCATGGGATTCTTGTATTCACACAAGAAAGAATTCAGGCGTGAGACAGAGAGTAAAGTTATAAGGTTTTATGAGGGACAAGGCATCCGTCAGAACGGAAGGGACAGAGAGAGAGTGCTCAGTCACTAGGACTGGAGGAGAGCGAGGTTCCATGGTTGAATGGAGAGAATTCACCTGGGCAGGCCAGCGGGTGGCTCAGCAGAGAGCAGAGAGCTGAGCACTTGGGCTTTGTTTGGACTGCAGTTTTTAAGGGAGTCTCTTTACCCCTCCTCCTTCTCCTCCAGGACAAAGGATGGAGAGTCTTGGAGAAAGGGTTTGTTGGGTGAAAATAAGCAAATTCCTCCCAGATCTGCTGGTGCAGGGCAGAGCAGAGGGGCTTCCCTTAGGGCATCTGTGAAGGTTTTATTGCCCCAGGTTATCAGGTCAGGTAACCCATTTGGTCCTGAGGAGAGAGAATTCTCCTGGGAGCCTTCCTTGGGGGAGGGCTGGAACCACCTGGAAGGTTATCAGGGTCTGAGCAGGACTTTGAAGTGCAAGATGCTGGGCTTCTGGGGCTTCCAAAGCAGATGCTGGTTTCTTCAGGCCCTTCACACACACACACACACAGAGGCTTATGTTTAACTTCCTACCTAACATCCCATCGTCACAGCACCTCCATGCTCATTCCTGGGATCTGCACATATCCTTAAAGAAGCTGCGAATCTGCTCACACACATCACTGAGTAAGCAGAGTTCTGTGCAGCCAACTCAGCTGTACTTTGAATTTCAGGCATGACGGCAATTTCTGCACTAGAACCTTGTGCAGCTCTGCTTTCTAAAGCGGAGTTCCCACACTCACAAAAATGGCCATGTAGTCGTAGTAATAATAAAAGTGTGGATTCTTTTAAAAAAGAGAAAGTATCAGTACTGACATAAAGAAAATGGCATTCCTCAGGCCGTGGCTTTGTATTATAACAGTTACAGAGATATCAGAATGAGCATCATCTCCTGTTTGGCAGTTGTCCCCATGTATAGATAACATGGGGAGTCTGAATTTGAGAACTCTGTGAGCAGGATGTTCAAGACAAATGGCTGCCGGCACCGTGGCTCACTAGGCTAATCCTCTGCCTTGCGGCACCGGCACACCGGGTTCTAGTCCCGGTCGGGGCGCCAGATTCTGTCCCGGTTGCCCCTCTTCCAGGCCAGCTCTCTGCTGTGGCCCGGGAGTGCAGTGGAGGATGGCCCAAGTGCTTGGGCCCTGCACACCATGGGAGACCAGGAGAAGCACCTGGCTCCCGCCTTCGGATCAGCGCGGTGCGCCGGCCACAGCGCGCCGGCCGCGGCGGCCATTGGAGGGTGAACCAATGGCAAAAAGGAAGACCTTTCTCTCTGTCTCTCTCACTGTCCACTCTACCTGTCAAAAAAAAAAAAAAAAAAAGACAAATGGCCTTCATGCTGCCTCCCTCCCACTATCCTGGGACCAACAGATTCACTCCCCGTCACTCCGGAGGGCCAGTGATCGATGAACTTGCCAGTAGACTTAATGCTTATCACAGGAAAGACCTGCCTGGGGTTTACAACTAGAACACAGGCTACCTCTGAGGTGTTGGGGTTCCCCATCACTAGGGAGATTCAAGCAGAGTTTGAATGAACCCCTCTTGGGGACACTGCACAGAAGAGCAGTGCCTTGTGTGGCAGCAAAATCAGACGTTGCTCAGCCTCCGGGAATCTCCCCAACACTTCATCCACACTCTAAGCTTTCACGTGTTCCTGGTGTGCAGGTGAAGAAGCAGCAAAAGCCATGACCTGAAACATCTTCCAACTTGTTTCAGACCCAAACCCACCCTCTTCCTGTTCACTTTGATATTTCACTGATCCATCATCCTCCAACTCTAAATCTTCCTGTCTCTTAGAAGGGCACAACTTATTGATGGGCACAAGCTATTGATCAAGAATGTCAGTTCTTCAGAATGAAATGAGGATGGAACGGCCTGGATCCCAGAAGGCTATGCAACACTATCTCCTTCTTAGGAAACTGTAAGAAAGCAAAGGGCCATTGTTGTCATGCAAAATTCACAGCCAAATGCCCTACCAGGTTACTCTGCCTCTATGGAAATGGGGTTTGGTGCTGATGCCTGTGGCCATATTAGCTCTATTTAGGGGCAGAACCACCTCCCACGGAGAGCTCAGTATGTCATCTGCATGTTGCTCTCTCTGCTGACCTGTCCAATGGCCTCTCAGGATTCCGCTACTATGAAGACCTCGTGAGCTGTGTGACCAGGGCAGAAGCAGAAGCGGTTGATGTGCTGGTTAAAGAGGCCGTGCGGGCATACCTTCCAGGTGCCTTCATCACCATGACCGGAGGCTTCCGGAGGTAAACCACGTGGGCTGCTTTGCTGCCTCTAACACTTCAGTGGCTCCTGGCCACTCAGCTGGCCCTGAAACGGCACAAGAGGCCTTTCACAATCTGGTGCCAGCCTCCCCTGCAGTGCTGTCTCCTGCGCTCCATGTTCCACTTCACCAATCCCAAACAACATGTCGCTCCCGGCACACACGGGCCCGTCTGCCGTCTCCACTACTTTGCTCCATTGTGCTTTCTGCTTCGGTTGCCATTCATCAGGACGTCACCTGGCTGGCTTCCCCTCATCCTTTAAGAGTCAGTTTAGGTGCTGCCTCCTCCAGCCTCCTCCTCTCTGCTGGGTTAGGGTCCCCCTTCAGCGCTCCCTGAACACCTGCCAAGCACTTGCTGCAGAGTGACAGTCATCTGCTCCGGTGTGTGCCTTCCCCACTGAGCCGTTAGAGCCTAGGTGAACAGTATGAAGGAGGTGCTCAAGAAATCTGGGTCCAGCCCACGAATGAATGAACAAGCTCTTCACAGAGATGTGGGGTACTGAGGCCTCCCCTTCACAGAGGTATTTCTGGCCCTCTTACTGGTGGATTGGCTGTTTTGACAAGCCAGGTTTGGGGGCAAGGAGAAAGAGGGAAAGACTGAATCTTACAAAATGCCATTCATCTGTGTCATAATTCAAACAGCACTACCTTGGTTAAGTGAACATTTTTTTTAATCTCTTGTTGGCCTGTTTGTCACCATGTATATATGTATAGAAGAAATAATCTCTGCTTTTTGCCCATACATAATCTTATACATACTATGTATGACTTTTTCCTGTGTCATAAATTTATTTGGCAAGGAATAGAGCTGTGCCACCAAGAATATTTTGTTTAAAAAATGTTTGTGTTGCAAACTTAAACCTTGAAGATAGAAACAAAGGTGACTTTAAAAAAAAAGTATGAGGGCCAAAAACCTAATTGATTTCCATTTTTTATATATGTTTTTAATAGGGGTAAGAAGATTGGTCATGATGTGGATTTTTTAATTACCAGCCCCGAATCAACAGAAGAAGACGAGCAGCAACTCTTACATAAAGTGGTAAATTTATGGGAAAAGAAGGTAAGAAGAAAGATTAAAAAAAAAAAAGAGGCTCATAGACTTAAGTCTTGCTACCACTGTTGAGTTTTACAATTTTCGCCCTGCCATTGCGCAATGACAGTCTAATCAATTTTTGATTTTTTGTGACACTGATACAACGCCACATGACCCAAAGTAATACGACTATCTGCTTTGGGTTCTAGAATACGCATCACAAATGTGCATTTTGCTTCTTTACACCTGTCCTTTACCAAAAGGGGCCTGGGGCAGCTGTGCAAATGTGTCTGTCAGAGACCTTTAAGCACACAAGCAAACTGGAAAACTTGCGCTGGGGAGACCTGGGCCTATGAGCCAGGAAAGCTGCAAGTTCTGAGAAGGGCAGCACTGCTAGGAGTGGGATAAAATCTGCCTTAGGCTGTGGCTGCTGCCCTGAATTCTACTCATCCTGGTTCACCCCACCTTGACTTTGTGCTGAGACAGGAAGAAGGAAGTGAACAAGGGCAGGTCGGGTGCAGCAGAGGTCAAGGCTCAGAGACACCAGCCCTGAGGACATCAGACCCAGAGCAGGCCGGCCTGTTGCCCAGGGGAGGAAGCTGAGCCAACCCCAGGTCAGAGCCACCTACAGGGCCCTGGCTCCTGGCTGACCCTAGAGAGAGCCTTTGGCACAGAGAAGGTGGCCCTTGCCTGGGGGCCTGCGGACCTGGGAAGGCTCAGGAGGCTGGGGCGAGCAGGGGTCCTTCTGGACAGCTTCACACTTCCTGAGGTTAGGGTCTGTGGGGCGTGGACCCAGCTCAGAGAGAGCAGACCCCTGGTAAAGAGAATGTTAAGTGCTAGACGACCCCAGAGCTATGAGCACTGGCAAGAGGACTCAACTCTGAACCAGATACATACTCACTTGCAAGGTCACCTCGAGGTCCCTCTGCATCTCAAAGGCGAATGGACTCAGGGAAGACAGGAGCCTGAGAGTGGACATAACAGGCCACGATAGGAGAAGGCAGGCCAAGGAGGAGTCAGAAATGCTAGCCCATCGTTCTACTTGGGCGGGGAACACCAATGACCTTGGACAAGATGAGGGAGCACAGCCTCTGGGCGCTGCTGGCCAAGGCCTGGGGCTCTTGCCCTGCGTTGTGGATCCCACCCTCGCCACGCTGAGGCCCACGGTTGGCCTTTCCTCAGTTTTGGGGCAGTCACGCTGCTGGTCCCCAAGCAGAGATGGGCCCTTTAAATGCAGGTGCCACCAAGGGCTGAAAGAGCTGGGACCGGTTCTCTGATCTGTCCACGTTCCCCTCCTCTGTGAGCCAGGGATGGCGAGCCTTGCTCGTGCACTGATGGGGAGGACCAGAAGAGAGAATTCAAAAACCTGGTGCACAGTTCCTGATCAGGGCTTTTTGCCTTATAGGCGGTGGCTGCTACTGCATAATCACACATCTCATGTGCGATTCTGTACAGACCTCTGGGCCAGGTGAGGGGCCCGGGAGTGAGCAGGCGCAGCCCTTCCCTTTCCCTCAATGACAACACTGAGCACAGGGGGAAAGCTGCGGGGGCCCTGACTGTGTGTGTGTGTAGCCACGTCTCTAGTTCACAGAACTGCTGAGAAATGGGAAGTAGTGACAACCACTCCAGAGTAAAGAATATGCTCACTTTGAGAAACTGCCCCAACTTTGGGAGAGGCAGAGTCTTCCAGAAGGTACCGGAGGGAGCTGGAGACAGAGGGAGGGAAGGATCCTGGTGGCGGGCCTCAGGCTCTGCCTTCGTCGGAAACCTCCTGCTCCAGTGGCCGAGGGGCTGGTGCCTGTGGGTGCAGCCCGGTCTCCCGTCACACCTCCCTTCCCTCGCTCAGTCACCAGCAAGCCGACTGCTCTGTCCCTGGAGAGAGGGAGGAAGGGAAATGTCTCCTTCCTTGTCCAGGGTCTCCCCGTTTCCAGTAGGAAACACAGAGAGCAGGCTGGTGTGACTACCCAGTCAGCCGGTGGGCACTGATGGGGAATCCAGAGCTCAGGCCTAGAAGGGAATTTTCAGAGAAGAGAAGTCACCTGAAGGGAAACGGGGACAGGAAGGAAACTGCAGACTGCAGAGATGCCCAGGCCAAGAGCTGGCGGCAACACCAGGGGTGCTGTGTGTGCTGATAACCAGGGCTCCTCATTCAAGGGGCGCCTCCCAAATGCCCCGCAAAACTCAAGAGGAGCCACGGCCAAGGATGGCCCAGCTGGCCATCACCAGCCACCTGGCGCCACCGTGTGGCAGCAGCATAAACACAGCTCACTATCAGGAAGTCAGCTTAGGAGGTTTCTTAAGAGGCGGGTGGGCATTCTGACAAAGTTGGCTTCAACGTGAGACTTGTTAATGGTTTAACAGAGTCCTTTCCAAATTTATATATTTAAATGTACACTAAAGACTGCAATATGGCACCAGTTCCAACAAGTCTCATTGAAAACCAGAGTAGCATTTCCTGGGCTGTTAGGAGAGGTTACCCCTGGCAACATCCAACATCGGTGTTCCTCCGCCAGTCCTCAGAGGGAGTCTGTTCCGCCTTACACCTTTCCTGGGCGGGATGGGAGGGGTTTCCTTTCCTGAGGTCAGCAAAAGCAAAGGGAGCCTCCTGCGTAGAAATGAGGCTTGTGGGGTCTGCAGAAGAAATGCAAAGAATGTCCCACCAGGAGCTGAAGCAGTGACGCTCCAAGTGCGCCCCCTGGACCAGCAACAGCAGCATCGGTCCTGCTTCCTTCGCCCCTGCTGGAATGCCAGGGCAGGGTCCTGCACACCACGCTTGATCAGACCCTCCACATGCTTCTGTGACAAATTCAGAATGTCTGACCCAAAGAACACGTGATAACCAGTCATTCACCCCGACAGCTGTGACTGCATTGGGGGTCATTTGCTCTTTTAGTTGCCACTTAGATTGGGCAGTTAGTTTGCATGTGTCTGCCTCCCTGGCCTTGTCCTGAGGAAATCCTGGGGAGCAGACAAATTAGAGGGTGGCGGCTTGCTGGGGCATCTCTTACAACCACTTGTTAAGCGTGTTACTAACTGCATCCCACTGCCTCCATGGCAGGGGGAGCAACAGTCTCTCATGAGAAAGAATCCCAGAGGCAACGCAGAAAAGTGGAGCTGAACCTGCAGCCACAACCCCGCCGGCCAAACTGAACCCGTCATCAGTGTAGCAGAAGGGGACACCAACTCAAAGCCACCCCCAGAAAGAACATGCTTTCTCGTTTATGGTTACACTGTCTGCAAATGAGCGAAGGGACTCCCATGCCCCAGCACTGGCTGAGATTCCTAAGTGAGGAGGGACTTTTCACGCCGTTTTGCCGTTAAGTGGCATTGGCTCTGGCTACACAGCTCTCCTGCCTGAAAACGGGGACCCTCTCCAGCAGGGACAATTCTGCCCTGTTTCTTCCAGGGATTACTTTTATACCACGACTTCATGGAGTCCACGTTTGAAAAGCTCAAGCAGCCCAGCAGGAAGGTGGATGCCTTGGATCATTTTCAAAAGTGCTTTCTAATCTTAAAATTGCCCCACGAGAGAGTGGACAGCGACAGGCCCAGCCAGCAGGAAGGAAAGAACTGGAAGGCCATCCGCGTGGACCTGGTCATGTGTCCCTACGAGTGCCACGCCTTTGCCCTGCTGGGGTGGACTGGCTCCCGGGTAAGTGCACCATGGATGTTTGCATGTTGTTCTCCAAAAGACATGGGTCGGGTCTGCCTGGCGCAGGCTGGGAGGGGACGGGGCGGGGCAGTGCCCGGAAACCTCCTGCGATCACATGATCCAGTTAGAGGGATGAACCCACAACAGTCATTCCCAGTGTGGCGTCTAGACCAGCAGCAGTAGCCTTACCCGGAAGCAGGTAAATTCACCGCACCCTAGATCCACTGGGCTTCCTCCTGATGATTCTGAAGCAGCTCAAATGTGAGAACCACCCAAGCAGAAAAACCAGCACGGACGTGGGCTCATCCTAGCCCTGGCTGCAGGACAGCCTAGGGGCCCCGGCCCACTTCCAGCCCAAGAGAACCGGAAGGACTCTTCTCACGGGCGTACACGTACACCCTGTACAGAGGACCTGTACACCATGCTGGACGAGCGAGGCGCTCCCAAGCCCAGCCTGCTTTGCTCTGCGGCATTCGGGCCTCGAGCGGGAGACGGTCCCTTACCACTAGAGGGCGCAATTCCCCAGGCTTTCCCCTAACAGCCCACAAAAAGGACAATTGCAACTGTGGGGCTTGCTCTCAGAAAACGACGGCCACTGTGCTTTCCCCAGGGATTTCTTGTCCTCTGTCTTGGGCTCCAGGCTTTGCTCCGTGCATCTTAGAGCCATGGGAAATGTCTTTCCGGGGCAGCTCACCGTTCAAAGAATCAAAGTCTGAGAGGAGGCACAGCCATGGGCGCCCTCAGTCTCACTTCCTCCATCCTTCCATACCAAGATTCAGAGAGGGTAGGTGACTTGCCAGAGATGCACAGCCATGTAGGGACAAAACCCAGGCTGTAATGGGTGTCCTGACTCCCTATGCTCTTTTTATTTAAATTTCTTTCTTTTTCATTTCCTTTGAAAAGAGGAGAAAGAGACATGTCTTCCTTCCACTGGTTCACTCCCAAAATGCCTGCAACAGTTGGGGCTGGGTCATGATGAAACCAGGAGTTAGGAACTCAGTCTGCGTCTCCTACACAGGTGGCACAGACCCAAGCAGGAGCCATTGCTTGCTGCCTTGCAGAGTGAGCATTAGCAGGAACTGGACAGAGAAGCAGAGCTGGGATTCCAGCCAGGGTACTCTGATAGGGAATGTGGGTATCCCAAGCTTCCTTATCGTCAGTTACAGTCATGGTATTTAAGGTTTAGAAAAGACACAAAACTAGGCTACTATTCCTCTAGCTCTGACTCTGGACCAGGTATTATTCTGAACACAATGCTAATTCTATGCATTCACTCATGCAACAAACATTTGACACACCCTTTTTAATATGGCAGGCCCTGTTTGGCATGGGAACAGGGTTATGGACAAAACAAACCTGATTCTAGTCTCCTGAGGTTTACGTTCTAGCGTGCTCAAGGGAGCATGGAGCTTTGTCATAGAGAACTTTCCCTGGAGGAGAAAATCTGTCACTGGAGGAGAATGATATCTCCAAATGCCTAACACTGAGGACATCATAACTGAGAGTAATTCATGTTAATTCTCTCTTGTCCAGCAGTTTGAAAGAGACCTCCGGCGCTACGCCACACATGAGCGGAGGATGATTCTGGATAACCATGCTTTATATGACAAGACCAAGGTAGAGTTTATGTCCTGCAATGGGCCCCTTTGATCCTCCTCCCCCAGGCTGGCTCCCTGAGCACTGGCTTTGCCTGATATCCAGTGTCAAGGCCCAGTTTCCTTTGCTGTGAGTGCCCTATCCCCCAGCTGATCGTGGTTAAGAACAGCTGGCAAGATCCCCACAGGCCCACGGTCCCCACCTGGCCCAGAATGTAACTCAGGAGCTTCTGGCTTAAAGACGATGAGCTCCTTGGGCCTCCGGAACCAGTCCAGCAGGGAACGTTAACTGACCTTGGATATCCTTGGTGTTTGCAATGAGTCACTCCAAAGAATTCCCCCAGAACACGAATAACACTCAAGCACCCCGCATATGCAGGGGGAAGCAGCATTTAGTGGCCACACGTAGGTCATTCATGAGGGTCGCCTGCGAGAAGGAGAGCAACAGAGCTACCTGAGAAGCGGGAGGGCACGCAGCCGTCTTACTCCCTGGCTACAGGACTTACCTGGCATGCTAGCGTGCTGTGGTCACGATGCAGCTCGTGCCTCAGCAGACGGCTAAGTGAATGAACAGTTAAAGAGTCAGATGTTACATCCACATGTGTCAAGGTCTGCTGTTCTTAGAGCAGTCAAGGATATCAGCCGAGGCTCCCAGGGAGAACTGGTAGCAATGCCCCTGCTCTAGTCTAGGACTGTCTCAGTCACAGGAGTCAGAAACCGAGCTCAAAATGGCAGAAGCAAAAGAGGAAAGGGGGATCATATACCACAGCATCCAGGGGTACCACTGGCTTCAGGCACAGCTGTATCCAGGTGCTCAGATAGGCTTCACTCAGTGTTGGTTTTAGTCTCAGTCTGAGTTTTCCCACAGGTCCCATTATTCCAGTTTCAACACAGAAGAGCCTCTTTCCTAACAGCTCCAAGCAAGAATCCTAGGTGATGCTCATTGGCCAGGCTGGGGTCACGTGCCCACCCCTGACCCCACTACTGTAGCTCAGATAGGCCAGGTTTGGGTTGGATGCATCTCCTTGGAGATGGCGCAGCACCACCTGATCCTTGTGGTTTGCAATTAGCAAGGGATGGTCTCCCGAAGAAAAATCAAGGTGCTAAGATGCTGGCAGGAAAACCTCAGATGCTGAGCACATGAGCAGAGGCAGAGTCACACACACCCAACTTGGGGCCACTTACAAATTCACACGCCACACACTTCAACGTCAGCAAATGCCTTCTAGGTGCCCAGCACTGTGCTGTACACAGAAAACGGCACTGGGGCTTGGTCAGGGGCTGGTGTGGAAGGCTGGAGGGGAACCCCACACGTCCAGGCATCCTCTAGTTGCTGGCAATACCTAGTTCTCACTGCACATTTTAGGTAGGTGAACATGAAGAAAGACGCATGTAGAATCACCCAGAGCTCAGAAACAGACTGATGACTTCTGAAACGTTGCTTTCATTAGAACGGGTGTGGCTCAAACTTCAGTGTCGCTTTAAAAGCACTGTCAGATGGTTCAGTGTGGTTAAGAACTGCAGACCAACAGGGAAAAAAAAATCCAGGTGCCGTTTGCTGTGTGTGTCGAGCTGCCAGGATTTTACTTGCATTCCCTCCGTACCATATTTTTGGATGGGAAGCTGTTAAACGTACTTCTTACAATCCGAAGCAGGGAATTATGTTTGGCAAGAAGTCCTTCTGATAAGGCCGTTTGATAAGGCATGCTTTCACTGGGGCTGCACTGAGATGCTTAAAAAAAAATGTCTAAATGCACCCATTTTGTTGTTTTCAGAGGATGTTTCTCCAGGCAGAAAGTGAAGAAGAAATATTTGCGCACCTGGGACTGGATTACATTGAACCATGGGAAAGAAATGCCTAGAAAAAACTTGTCAACATTTTTTTCTTCCCTGTTCTTTCCAGGTTAAGTAAGTTACGTGTCACATTAGCCAAAGATGCCTTCGGAAAGTTCTGGATTCTTGAGGTCCTGCTTAAACGCAGATTGCCACTAGAAATAAATAGCTTTGGGAACAGGATAAGGCACCACCTGCTCACGGGTTATGTGCCGACAGGCCCTTAGGACAACTGTCGCTTCTAATGCATGAGGCATTTTGCTGTAGAAACAGTGCTGCTGTGGGTGCTCAGGGCCCACTGTGCTCCCAGTGTAGCTGGAGCACTCTCAACCTCCAATAAAAACCAGAGGAAGCCAGCAGGTGGAGTCGTCTTTTCTTCACTCAAATAGTATAAAAGATTTTTAACCACCGATGTCAAAAGTGTCAGTTTCCACTTTATTTTTGGGGGACAAACAGGGCTAGTTAGAAGACACAGTGATTCCAAAGGGGATGCCGGGTCCTAGCTTCGCAGGAGGGGGTGCTGACTCTGGATGGGCTCAGCTCTGATCCCCAAGGAGCTGAGCGCCAGAGTCCCAGCACAGCGCCACCTAAGGGCCGAATTCCCACTGCTTTCACTCACAGGGAAGTGCTGTGTCTAAACCACCAAAGCGGCATCTCTGTTTTTCCATCTTGGCGCCTGTCTCTGGAGCTCCGTGGCTCAGCCTCTCTCAGGAAGACGATCTCTCCTGGTCTCTTCGTGTTAGGGCACCCTAGGAAGGGAGGCAGCCATGGGAGAGGCAGCCCATGGGATTCCCAGGCTCCAGACCCCTTCTGACGCCCTCCGTTCCAGCCTCCTTGGGGTCCTCAGCCTGCTGAAGACCAGCGAGACCCCTAGTCACCCTTCTCCCTTTCTCCAGTCCCCTCAGAGAAGACGACATCGGGACATCCAAGACCCCACAGAGAGGCACGGTGCCCCCAGCACACACACAGAAAGCGACTCCTTGCCTTCCTAGTGCAGTAGTATCAGCAGAATTTGAGTGACATAGCACAGATCTGCCCAGTGGCTGGGCTATCCTCCACCTGGGACCAGCGGGCTAACCTGAGCTTATCCTTGTGATGACAGCACAGACCGAGAGCAAGCAAACTCCAGTGAGCAAGCACTTTTCAAGCCTCTTCCCGTGCCTGTTAACGTCAGGCAGCAAAAGCACGGCACGGCCTGAGTCTTGGGGGCTGGGAAAGTGTGTCACAGTGCCAAGGCGTGCCAAGTTCCAGGGCAAAGAGCATGGATGCAGGGAGTGGGGGAAGGGCTGGGCCTGTGAATGTGAGGCACTTGAGAGAGACCAGTGTGGGCATCCTGTTCACTCTTTCCTCTCCCCACAGCCCACTGCACTCAGTCCTAGCAAATCCCGAGGTGCCAGGGAGCTAGGAGCAGGAACCTCGGCTCGGCAGGGCACTGACCTCTGAAAGCCAACATGGTGGCAGGCAAAAAAGGAGAGGCAGGGGGATGCCTGCAGAGGAAACTCCCCCAGGCATCTGGGTTTTAAGAGGAGGAATGACCTTGAGGTTTCCTTCTATCATCCAGTCCAGCCCATCAGGATGAGCCCCCCCCCAATCAATATCGCATCACGTCCGCAATCCAGCATATGCAACGGGTGTTAGGTGTTTCTTTTTTAAGTTTACTAATTTATTTATACTTATTTGAAAGGCAGAGCAACAGCAACAAATGCTTTCAACAGCTGGGGCTGCCAGGAACCCAAACTCCCTCCGGGTCTCCCCTGTGGGTGGCACGGATCCAAGAACTTGAGCCATCACCTCCTGTGTCCCTGGGTGTGCACTAGCAGCAAGCTGGATTAAAGCGGAAGTGGGACTGGATCCAAGGCATTCCAGTATGGAATGCAGGTGTCCCAGGAAGCACCTTAAACCGCTGCACCACTGACACCTGCTCCTTGTTGAGTGTCCACAGTCACTTTCCAAGGAGTCCCGAGGTGCGTAGAACACTTGATATACAAAGGAGAAGAACCTGCAGGCATGTTCCCTGTCCAAGGTTAAGCCACTATGCAGCGAAGCCAGGTTTGACCTCAAGTCCCAGCTTGTGTGACTCCAAAGCCCAGGCTCTTTCTCCCAATCTGGAAAGTTCAGGAAGCAGCCATGTTAGCTCGGCCATCCCACAGACCTACATCCATCATCCATCCATCCATCCATCATCCATCCATCCATCATCCATCCATCCATTCATCATCCATCCATCCATCCATCCATCACCCATCATCCATCCATCATCCATCCATCCATCACCCATCCATCCATCCATAATCCATCCATCCATCATCCATCCATCCATCCATCATCCATCCATCCATCACCCATCCATACACCATCCATCTATCCATCCATCCATCAATCATCCATCCATCATCCATCCATCCATCCATCCATCCATCATCCATCCATCCATTCTGGCCTTCCAGGCAGTTTCACCTGCTGCTCCTGTTGTCCCCGCACAGTTACGATGGGACGCCCTTCCTCTCTTGGAACATTCTGGTTTGCAGGATAAGTGATATGGTCACTGTGTTTATGAGCCCCTACTGTGTGCCAAGCCCTGTTGCTGGCACTGAGGACTCACAGAAGAACAAAACTCGTTTCGGCTCACAGGCAGTTTTAGGGGCATCTCTGTCACTTTTCGGAACCAAAGTGTGAAGTGTTTGTACCTTGCTGAGGAAAGGGAATCCTAGACAGACCTTCTCTGAGAGTGGCTCAGCTGGGTTCAGAGCCTGCCCATACCCCCACCCTGAGCTGTGTCCCAGGGCACCGCTGTCGCACACAGCACAGCTCGGAAGACATAGCCACGGTCCCAGCACGGCATGAGAGGCTGGGATGAATGCCCTCAGGAACCAGCCTGCCAGGACCCAGACACACGGAGGAACGAGAAGGAGGTTTGGAGCTGTGAGCCCCACTCTGGTTAATCCGGAGCCTGGGTGAGAGCGGTGATGACACCTGTCTCCGTGGCCAAACGACAGGCTAGGGTAAAACTTAAGGGGCCTGGTGTGGGACTTAGCCCTTCTTCCCCACGGCTCCCTGGAGATCACAGAGAGTGGGAAAGCAGAGCCTGGGCTGAGGCAAACTCCATGACCACTAGTCCACATCCAGGGAAGCAGGGCCAGTGAGCGGCTTGGAGGAAGCCAGCGGGAGGGAGGGTGGAGGAGCACTGAGCTGAGAGCCAGGCCTGGCTTCGTGGGGTGCTGTGGGAAGGGTGGGGGAGTCGGGCTCTGAACGCTGCTGCCCAGCAGGGCTCCATGGCTCACCGTACCTTCCCACGACCTCGCGGTCGGCCAGCGTCCCCTTCCTTGGAGGACTCAGCAGAACGTTCCGAGTTGGGTTCAGGCGGCGTCTGGGAGTCGGAACTTGGGCTCCGCATAAAGCAGGCAAGGGCAGCCGCGCCCTGGCAAGTGGGGGCGGTAGCATCACTCCCACCAGCGCCTGGGGCCAAGCCTGAGGCCGAGCAGCACCTCAACGAGGTGACCTAGTGGGTGCGGAAGGCGCCGCATCAAAGCTGCTCTCCTGGGCCTCCCGGGCCTCCCGCGCACCGCAGCTTGGAAGAGACGCAAGGACCAAGCACGCCGTCCATTAGTCCCTGAGGCTCGGACTTCCCTTTCATCAGCAGAGGATCAGCGCCAGATGGCCATTGGTAGCTCTCCAGCCAATAGACAGGCTGCCCAGAGTCAGGTGGGCATCAAGAGTCCAATCAGCTACGATGGGGATGGGGTGGGTGGGCGTGTGCACGCGGGCACGCATGCGCTTACTGGCCGTGCGTGCGTGTGATGGCTGTGTGTCAGTGTCCTTGTGCGTGCGTGGCTGCCTACAGGGAGAGGGCGTTTGGGGCGGTGGCTGTGGTCGGGTGGGACTAAATGTTGCCATTCTGACCGCACGATTCGGTGGCCGTGGGTGTGTTCATAATGTTGTGGAGCCATCACCAGCAATCTCCAGAGCTTGCTCATCACCTCAAATCTGTGCCCACTAAGCGGTAAGTTTGCACTCCCTGGCAGCCTCTCTGCTGCTTCCCGTCTATGACTTTGCCTTTTCCAGCGCCTTCATACGGGATCAGCTGACTTTACTTAGCTCGATGCTTTAAAGGCTCATCCATGTCACGGGTATCAACATTGGCTTCCTTGTTCGGGCGGAATAATAGTGTGTTCGGTCAGTGTGCTGTATTCTTGTTGACCTGCTCATCGGACTGACGGGGATCAGGGCTGCTCGCACCATTTGGATAGTGTGCATAATGCTATGAGGAATATGGGTAACACGTGTCTGTGTGAGTCTCTGCTTTCCATTCTTAGAGTATAAATCTAGAAGTGCAACTGCTGGGTTAAGTGAAAATCCTAGGCGGCCCCGTAGGCCTTTGCACAGCAGCCGCACCATTTTACAGTCCCACCTGCAGGACTCAGGCCCTCCAGGCTCCCCGCATCCCGCCCGACGCTCACTGCCTTCCATTGTGTTGGGTTTCACAACAGCTGTCCTACCGGATGTCAAGTGGCAGATGCCCAACCCGGAGCCAAGACGGTTCAGACGGAAAACAGTGCTCTGGACAGGGCTGCAGGGTTAGGCATGGAACAGGGCACTTCATCAAGTTCATGGGAAGTGGAGTTGAAAGACAAGTTTATTTGGTGCAAATAAAGCATTTTTAAGCTGCGAATAATGTTTCATAATTCTCATTTTCCACAAACTTCTTGAAGACCTCATAGGTGACATCTTGTGTTGCTGACTGAAGAAAGCTTAGGATCTGGAGGAGGCAGACAGCTGCCACATCCAGTGGAGAGAGCTCTCACCATTTGGCACCGTGTGCTGTTCACATGCCTCGCAGCTCAAAGTCTTCATCCTCTGATGTGGGCGTGAGCACCTTAGTTTCCACTGTGGTTCTTGCCTCACACAGAGATAAGAATTCTAAGGGGAGGCATTGTAGGAACAGAGTTTATTTAACAGCAACAGAGAAAGCATCCATTCACGCATGAGTGTGGGCTGCCCCCACGGAGAAGCACCTGTCATGAGTGGACCAGAGGCTTTCCCAGAGAGAGAGAGGAAAAAGCTTGAATAGCACTCCCAGCATGGTCCGCAGCAAAAAAAAGAGAGTTCTCTCCTGTTCTCAGTCTCTCTCTCTCTCTCTCTCTCTCTTTTTAAAGGTTTATTTATTTATTTGAGAGGCAGAGGTCTTCTGTCTGCTGGTTCACTCCCTGAATGGCCACAACAGCTGGAGCTGGGCCGATCCGGAAGTCAGGAGCCAGGAGCTTCTTCCAGGTCTCCCACATGGGTGCAGGGGCCCAAGGACTTGGGCCATCTTCTGCTGCTTCCCCAGGCCATAGCAGAGAGCTGGATCAGAGGAGGAGCAGCCGGAACACAAACCGGTACCCGTATGGGATGCCGGCTCTGCAGGCAGAGGCTTAACCTGCTACTCCACAGCATCGGCCCCTGTTCTCAGCCTCTTTTATGAGGTAGGGGTGGTGCTTTTGCATGTGTGATGCCATCTGGTAAGTCTATGGCACCTCCTCATGCGGTTTGATATCCATGTAATCAGGGTATCTCCCTCTTGGCCTTGGATGAGACACAGGCATCTGGGAAGGCAGGCGTCTTTGATAGATAACATGCAGGGCTGCAAGGGCTCCAGCTCACGTAGACTCAGCCAGCTGCCTGCCTGTTCACACCGATCACTTTCTGCTGCCCCAGTGTTTCAGGTGTGTTATTCAGGATTATTCTAGGTATTATGAATTTTTAAAAAGATTTACTTATTTATTTGAAAGGGGTGGGGGGAGTTCGGTCTTCCCTCTGCTGATTCACTCCCAGTGGCCACAACGGCTGGAGCTGGGCTGGTCTGAAGCCAGGAGCCAGGAGTTTCTTCTGGGTCTCCAATGAAGGTGCATGGGCCCAAGCACGTGGGCCATCTTCTGCTACTTTCCCAGATGCATTAGCAGGAAGCTGTATTGCAAGTGGAGCAGCTGGGGCTGGAACCGAGGACCATATGGGATGTCGACACTGCAGGTGGTGGCTGACTTTCCATGCCATATCACTGGCCCCTGGTATTATGAATATTTTTAAGTTGACTTAATTAATGAATATATTCAAGTGTTTGCCATGTTAACAGCCATTTTTCTAGCCACAGGACATAGAACAAAAAACAACCTGTCAAAAATGTTTGCCAATATAATCATAAGCATGAAGTGTATGTTCTAGAAAGAAATTTATTTTGGTGTTTGCCACAAAACAATGCTTTTCCTCTTATAATAGTGATATAAATCTTCCTTTTTGAATATAATATTTAAATAAGAAAAGTAAATCAACATACGAAAAAGCTTGTAGGGAATATTAGCAGTGGGACGGTGATGTGGCAAGAATGGGAGGCGAAGTGAGGAGAACCAGGGGCCTGACACTGGGGAAATGTGTAGGGAACCCCCCCCCCCCCACACACACACACTAACAGCTCTCCAGCTCTGATTCTGCCCAGTGCCTGCCGGTCCGTGCAGGAGGACCAGAGAATCTCAGAGATTCTAACGCGAATTCTCTTCTCTGAAAAGCCCTGTGGAGAATTCCACAGACGTCCTAGGCTAGGCTGCAAGTGTTTTTTTGTTTTTTTGTTTTTCTTTCTGCCAGAATCAGAACTGTCTTTGCCCCTGCCGCCTACTTTATTTGGGAGCACAGCACCCTCTGGTGGCCAACAAAAGGTGTTTCAGAGGCAAAGACAATCCTATTTAGAGCGGTAGAATGAGGAAGAAACCCAGGAATGTTGAGTGGGGGGCCTTAGAGGCCTTCTAGTCCAAGCTCCTCCTCTACAGAGAGCAAACCACGATCCGCAGAGAGGCAGTGCCCAAACGTCACACAGCAAATTTGTGCACCCACTGTGGCCTCCCCAATTATTACCCCACCCCATGACGGTGGACGAGCCACCTAACCGCGCTGAGCTTTGATCGCCTCCTCGGTAAAATGCTGGCTCCTTCCTAGGCACCCACTGGAGGAGTGCATGAGGCAGTGTTTGTGACGAGCTTGATTCGAGAATCCTTTGGACTGGAGCAAATTCGTAGTAACTTGCGGAAAAGGACACTAAGGCACTGGCCGTGCTTCTTCCCGGCCCGTGAAGCCACAGCGGGAGGTGTGAAGGTGAGGGATGTGCTCTGACTCCCGGACTCCCGGCCCTGCTGCACCTGTCTGCACTTGCCAGCCCGCATCTGCAGGCCACCCAAGTCCCACCAGTGAGCCCGCATTTTCTGTGGAGGCCAACAGGGGGCTTTCGGGTACTTACTGGCCTTTATCTCTTGGAACAGATGGAAACCACTGGGGAGTCACTTTTCTCTATTTCACTTGCATTTTTATCAATGAATTCACAGTACTCTAAGCATTCAAGTTCTTCCCCCAGCATGCATATCAGAGGATTCCCCTTAACAGCTCAGAAGCCCTCCTCAGAAACCAACCAAGCTCATTACTCTTAACTCCTCATTTCATGCAAACTCAAATCATTTCCTCAAAACAAACTGCTTTACTGTCTTCAGGACTAATAACATTAACTTCCTAGGGCCTTGATTCGTTCATATGTAAAATGGGCTCAGTAACAATGGTACCACATCCCATATGGCATTGTTATAAGAAATAAAACAAAGTAGTAAATGCAGATTGCTTTTAAGGTGAGAAAATGGGAGGCCAGCATTGTGTCTCAATGGGTTAAACCACTGCCTGCAGCACAGGCATCCCATGTGAGTGGTGGTTCAAGTCCTGGCTGCTCCACTTCTGATCGAGCTTCCTGCTTATGTGCCTGGGAAAGCAGCAGCAGATGACACCAGTGCTTGGGCCACCCATATGAGAGACTTGGATGGAGTTCCAGACTCCTGGCTTTGGACTGGCCCAGCCCTGGTCATTGCAGCCATTTGGGGAGTGAATGAGTGGGTAGAGATCTCTCTCTTTCTCTCTCTCCCTCCCTCCCTCCCACCTCCCTTCCTCTTTCTGTTGTGGGCTAGGTTAGGCTCAAACTCCTATTTCAGGCTCTTGCCTTTTACTTAGAGAAGAATTCTAAGTACAGGTACAAACACGACGTGCAGCGTGATAGGGTTTATTTGTGGTATGAGAAGAATACGCAGGAACATGAGGGCATTGTTGAGGGGAGTGGGCCAGGGTGGAGTGAAGAGGGACTTCCAAACCAGGCTTGCCTGGATCCATGAGGGGAGAGAAAGGCAGAGAGCCTCCCCTTCTCCAACCTTCTTAGGAGCTTCAAAAAGGGGAGTGGTTACATAGTCTGATTGACAGGTGGGTTGATAGGATTACAAGGGGGCGGAGAGGTGTGGCCTCCAGCACAGGAGTTTTCCCACTTCATTTCTGTAACTTGCCTTTCAAATGAGTAAATAAATATTTAAAATGAAAACATGCTACAGTTTAAAAGGAAGTTATATCATCTAATCACAGTTCCAGTGCTTGGGGACAGCTTGCCAGAAAGCAGGCATCCGAGTTGAAAAGAAACAAATCAGTTATGTTGGCCAGGCTGGCTTTTTTTTTTTTTTCTTTCTTTCTTTTTTTAAAGATTTATTTATTTATTTGAAAGTCAGAGTTACACAGAGAGAGGAGAAGAGAGAGAGAGATCTTCCATCCAATGGTTCCCTCCCCAGTTGGCCGCAACAGCCGGAGCTGCACTGATTTGAAGCCAGGAGCCAGGAGCGTCTTCCAGGTCTCTCATGCAGGTGCAAGGGCCCAAGGACTTGGGCCATCTTCTACTACTTTCCCAGGCCACAGCAGAAAGCTGGATCGGAAGTGGAGCAGCTGATTCTCGAACTGGCGCCCTTATGGGATGCTGGCGCTTCAGGCCAGGGCATTAACCCACTTTGCTACAGCGCTGGCCCCCAGGCTGGCATTTAAATCCAAAGGCATTTAAATAAAGAAATAGAGCCACAGTCCTGGAGCGGTAAGTGCAGGACAGTCTTCGTGACCCTCCCCGTGGTGACTCTGGGTTTAAACAATGCTGTAGCCTCAGTGCATAGGTCCCGTGTGTCCATGGCATGAGGGGATGATATTTTCCCAGGAAGCTGAGTTTACAAAGCTGGGTTGAATATTTTGACCTTTCCTACCCTGGAGACCCAGAGGCAGAGAGAAGGCTGGCTTAATCATCTTTACCAACTTGCTGTAAGTAAGTTAATAAATGAGGAGGGGGATCTTTGGCAGTTACTTTTCCAATACTGTGTATCTTGAAATGAGAAGTACACTAAGAACTCACATCCGGGCTTCTTACTATTTTCACTGCGCTTTCCTTTTTCTGGGAAAATGTAAATATTAAATTAACACAGTGCAACATTTACTAATTTCAAATCATTTTATGCTAACTATACCGCAACAGGTTGCTTAAGAGAGGTCTAATTTGGTATCTCTGTCCTGATCTCCAACTGCAATGATCGCTGTTGATGTTGAAAACGCTGGGGTGGAAGTGATGCAAATCCCTTGAGAATCCCCAGGAACTCATGGTGGGCTGTCTGCCTTGAGTGGTGATTATACTGACAAAATTTACATACAACTTCCCAGGATCCCAGCGTCCTGAAGCCATGCAGGTGAAGAATCCTGAGTGTGGAGTGATCCTCATTTGCTTCCAATTCTAGGAAACTCAGGCTGTTTTGAGGCACCCTGTCTGAAGCGCGTGTGCTGTTGGAAGCTTTTTGAGTTTTCAGGTCAAGTTGATGGTGAAAAGCCCTTGAAGGTGAATTCCATTCTACCCCAGAGGCACTCAGTACACCTATTTCTGTCTGGTTTCAATTTCTTCGGAGAAAGAATTTCTTCAGAGAAAGGTTGTGTTTATCCTAACATGACACCCAACCACATTCCCCATAATCTGTTGTTGTACTCCAAAAAAAAAAAAAAAAAAAAAGACAGATTATAGCCCCATAGCACTTTGATGTCATTTTTTTTCCAAACTAAATGGAGGCAAAATTTTCATAAAATAAACTGCACATGAATATGTTACCAGAGGTGCTTCTTAGAAGTTTTTGTCTTTGCACAGGAAAGAATTCAGAAATGAGACGGGCTAGTGGAGTAGAATGGCTAGGTCATTTGGAAGGTATATATTTAACTTTTCAAGAAACCACCAAGTTGTTTGCCAAAGCGACTGTTAGTATTTTCCTTTTATTCCTGCCAGCAGTGTGTGACGATCCCAGATCTTCCTAGTCCTCACCAACACTTGCTTGTCCAGACTATCAAGGGCGAGGTGTTCCGCCAATGGATCTTCATTTACATACCTCAAATGACTACAACACTAACCATCTTTTCATGAGTTTATCTGTCATTGGTATATTATCTTTGGCAAAATGCTCTTCAGATGTATAAATTAGGTTTTCACAAAACCATCTTCCATTTCTTTAACACATTCAACTTTTTCTCTAAATTATTAAATATATAGGATATACTCACAACAATTTTAATGTCTTTATCATCTATGTAGATTGTGAATCAGTTTCTTTTTTTTTTTTTTTTTTTTTTTTTTTGACAGGCAGAGTGGATAGTGAGAGAGAGAGAGACAGAGAGAAAGGTCTTCCTTTTGCTGTTGGTTCACCCTCCAATGGCCGCCACGGCTGGTGCACTGCGGTCGGCGCACCGCGCTGATCCGAAGGCAAGAGCCAGGTGCTTCTCCTGGTCTCCCATGCGGGTGCAGGAGCCAAGCACTTGGGCCATCCTCCACTGCACTCCCGGGCCACAGCAGAGAGCTGGCCTGGAAGAGGGGCAACCGGGAAAGAATCTGGCACCCCGACTGGGACTAGAACCCGGTGTGCCGGCGCCGCTAGGTGGAGGATTAACCTATTGAGCTGTGGCGCCGGCCGAATCAGTTTCTAATGATAAATATTCTCCTCATCTGTCATACTTTCCTACCTCTTTGAATGACTGTTGATTTTTTATTGGATTTTAGACTTGGTGAATTTTACCCTGTTGTAATCTGGATATTTTTATATTCCTGTAAATATTCTTGAGCTTTGTTCTAGAATGTGGGAGATAATTTGGTCTGTCCCCACCTTACTTTTATGCTTTGTTGGGAAGAAGTAGAATAGCACAAACCTAATTTAATCTAGGATTAATCTTCTTCCCCACTATGGAGGCAATACTTTTCTCAGTAATCTACCTGATCCTCATAAATTCGGATGCTTACTCTGGCTGTTCCTGGGCCCGCGTGAACTTGAGGTACTGTTCCCTCTAATCCTTCTGCAGGTAGTCCTCTAGTTCTGTCTGTGAACGCCTCTCCTCTCCAGCTCTGCCCTACAGATTCTGTTTCCCTTGGCCTCCATGAGCTTGCAGCTCTATCTCATCTAGAGCACACACCAAGGCCATGTGGTCAGAGGATGATGGTGTCTGAAAAGCAGAAAGTCCCATGTGGCAGGAGGAACCATGGCAACAAATGATCAGGGAGAAATCCCTTACACCAGGTATCTGAGGGGCAGAGAGGAGCCCTGTCGGCTGGGGGAGAGGAAATAGAAGGAGTGAGACTCAGACTGGGCTTTCCCCTGCCCTCAAGACAAAAATTCAGATCTTGACCTTGGCTGTTCTCAATGGCTAATCCTTGACCAGGGGTCAGCCATAACTGTCAGCTGACTCCTGCTCACAGAATCATCCCATTGGTGGTAGATTTCCTTCATCCTTGTTTGTCCTCACATCAAAGCTACCACCTCCAATGTATCATTGTAAGAAATTCATTCCTTGCCCTTATAAATCCATTTTTAAGCCCCAAGTCCTGTTCAGCCTGTCTTTTAAATGGCCCTGTTTTCAAATGCTTTCTTGGACAGACTGAGTCATCTTCTAAAATGTCCCCCAGGCTAGTCTGTCCAGTTTGGGTATTTTTATACCTCCTAGCTTACTGGAGTTCAGGTAGTTTCACTGCAGGGTAGAGGAGACAGCCCTTTATCTTTCTGAGTTTTACGTGGAGGTGTAGACTTTCCTGCAGCCATTTGGAAATTCTGTGGCTGAAGACTCTTGCCTACCTCTCCTTCTCTTCTGGCTTCAGGTATAGGAAAAAGGGGGAAAGACCATGTAGACAGAATCTGCTATTGTTTGAACCCAAGGGAGACACACCCTTTTATGTTTTTGAGCCCAGAGGCAAAAATGCCTTTATGAAAAATTTCCTGATGTCATTTCCTGCAATAGACAGGAAATCCATGGGTTGGAGAGACATTTTCAAGAAGACCCAGTTGCCTTTAGCTTTTTTGTTATGTTATGTCCCAAATGTTGTCTTAGGTCCTGGCAGATTGTGTGACATAGGGAAGAAGTCAGCACACATTTGTCCAATCAATTCCTGTGTTAGGCAACGATTCTCTCCACGACAGTGGGATTGCAAAGATCACATGAATTGGCAATGTCAAAAAGCAGTCATTATCGCTGGGCTTTGCTCTTTTGTTAGCATTACAGTGTTTCAAGGGCAAATGCCATAAGGAAAACTGTGTAATCATCATTATTTCTTGGCAAAATACAAGAGAAATAAAACAACTCTGCCACCTGTGAAGTCAGGAGCTATAGAGGCCCTGGCCATGTGCTGAAGGGAGTGGGGAGCAGGGAGGCAGAAGGGGCAGACTTTGTGAGGTTCAGAAAAACTAAAGTTAGAATATTTGAACTGAGGGCAAGCATGTGGTGCAGTGGTTAAGACACTTCTTAGGATGCCTGCATCCCATATCAGAGTGCCTGAGTTCAAGTCCTGGTTCCACTTGCAATTCCAGCTTCCCACTAATATACCCTGGGAGGCAGAGGTGATGGTGGCTCAAGTACTTAGGTCACTGCCACCCGTGTGGGAGACCTGGATGGAGTCACTCACTCTTGGTTTTGGTCTGGCCTAGCTCTGGCTATTGCAGGCATTTGAGGAGTGAACCAATAGACAGAAGATCTCTCTCTCTCTCTCTCTCTCTCTCTCTCTCTTTTCTCTTTCTCCCTTAACAATAAATATAAATAAATAATATTTTAAAAGACTATTTGAACTGGGTTGATGTAACCTTAGTGGCAAATCAATCTAAGGACCAGGAGACACATTAGCACATGAGACGCAAAAACCTTGTGCAACCAACCCAGGGTGACACAGTACTTAGCACCAGCCCTGGATTAGGGCACGAGAGTGTCAGACTTCTAGTCTCATCCTTGTAATCCTGTGGGCTGCCCTCCAAGGAAGGACTGAATTTTCATCATCAGCCCGGCCAGAAAGTGCTGTACCAGGAGTATCTCAGGGATAATCTTGGTTCCAAGTCCAGGGCCAATGTCCCAAACTTTAATTCAGGCAAAGAAAGCAACAGACATTTTATAAGTTTATAAGAAGGGAAATTTTACTTTTCACTTATTCCAAAATAAATTCTTTGCATCATAGTGGATATAAACGACAGAAATAGTCAACCTTGCTAGTTTGGTAGAAACAATTTGAAATAAAGATTCTAAGCAATAGATTGTAAGTATAATTAAAATAAATGATCCAAAATACAAGTCACACTATACTTTTTAGGCTCCAAGGCTTATTCACATGTGAATTTCAATCCAGTTGCACAATTACCTGGTGAGGTTGAGGAATGAGAGCTGCCATCTCTGTTCTTTGAGTGTAGAACTGAGGCTCCAGGTGCTCAGCCATCTACCCCAGAGCTGAAACCTGTGAGGTCAAAGCCAATGCCACAGCTGAGCTCTCAGTAAATCTGAGATCCTTGTTGATATGTGGGAGACCTACAAGCATCATGATCGCTGGGAATGTCTGCACACCAATGGCCAAATCTGCTTGTCAGGCTGACTGAACCCAGGGGTCACAAGAGGATTTGGAGAGCAGGTGTTGGCAGGGGCAGTGATTGGGTGTATAGATCCAGGGAGGAGGAGGCACATATCCGAGCGATCAGAGACGCTGAGTGAAAACAAAAAGAAATGTTCCCCATGGTGTCAAGGTGGCTCCTGGAGCCAGTGAATGGACCCCAAGATTTTCCACTGGGAGGTCTGGTCTGCTCAGAGGCAATGGCAATGCAAGCTGCCTGGACGCCCCCTTGAGGAAGTGAAGGGAGAGGCCTGGCATGAGCCCCCTGATGCTGTCCATGGGCTCCCCTTGGACTCCAGGCACTCAGCCAGCTCCAGTGGTCCTATGTTCATCTATTTGGGCCTCTTGATCACTCTTCCTGCCAGACAGTTTTTCCCCATGATCATCCAAGGGCCTGGGTCTTCTCTTCACTACCACAGAATGGAAACAGCCTCATTTCTAACGATCTGTTGGAGCAATTGTTGCCTTCCCTTTTCCTCTTTGCCATCAACACACACACACACCATTGCAAAGCTGCCTTCCTGAATACTCTCAAAGAATGAGGTGTTGGGACACATGCTAGGAAGCCAGCTCGTCCCAAGTCATGGAGAAAATGATATTGGTGTTGAGGACAAAGGATAATGCAGCAAAAAAAAAGAAGGGGAGGCAGGGCAGGGGGATTGGAAAGCTGGGGCAAGGACTTGCTGGGGTCAGAGAACAGCAGGAGCAATACACACAAGATATGGCATACTGGTGGGTGTAGGCCAGCACAGTCAGTGGGCCAACACCACTCGGGGTACAATTCTGGCAGGGACTCAGGGCTCCTCTTCACTCTAAAGAGTTATTTAGCAACTACCCACAAGGCACAAAGGTTAAACAAAGATACTTGAGGAACTGCCATCACAGGTATGGTAATGCAAAATGTCCCATTGTAAAGAACAACATCCTCTAAATTTGAAAGATGACTTTCTATCAGCTTCAACATCTTGAAAGTTACATGTGATGCCACAGGTCTCTGTACTTGGAATCTGGAACTTGTAAGCACTTGATTTTTCTGGTAACATGTAAAGACAGGGTCATGGCTGGATTTTAAACTTCACAGACACTAGCAACACCTAGAATTATCATTAGATGTCAACAATTTGGACTTTAATCTTTTCTATGACCTCGTGAGGCAAGTAATAGTATCTCCTCTTCTACAAAAGCAGACACTGAAGCTTGGAGAGGTCAGACAACTTCTGCAAGAGTCAAACAGCAGCCTAGTGGCAGAGCTGACTCTAGAGTTCGTGTTCTTTCCATTGCCTGATGACATGACCCACCACATGCTGCCCTGTGCTCAGGGAACAGGTGGCTCCCCTGTGATATTCAGAAGTAAGAAACGGATTCCTCTGGCAAATGCCCCTTAAGGTTAATTTATACCTCAACTTGTACCAGACTGATGTTGGCCAGTGTTGCCATAGAGGACAGGTCTAATGACTTTTTTGAGAAAAGGAATGTGCAATCAGGGACAGAAGGCAAGATATTCAGAAATCAAGCCCCTTTCTCAGAATGATCAAGGCAACAAACTCCCCTTGGGGTTAGAAGAGAATCTAAGGGCTCCATCGAGACACAGGGTGGGCACACCTGTGCTTCTCTTCTTATTAAACCACAAGGTCTAGAGTTGGAATGAACCTTATTGGCACTGTCCCCTGTGCAGAGACAAATCCACCCCAGAGTGCTCCAGATCTGTAAATGAAATCTGGATTGGTTAGGAAGCACCTTGGCATCTCTCGTGGCCGAGCACAAATCCCGGGGTGTCCAGCCCTGTTCCAGCTCCAGGTCTGCTCCCTGACTGAGCCGTGTCACTCTAGGCTCAGTCTGGGAATAAGCCACCACAGTCCCCTCCTCCTCTCCATTTCTTCACGGGGGCCGTAAGTGTCGCGCACAGGCTGCTCACTTCCTGAGACAGTCCTCACGTAAATGTGGCCTTCTGGTGCTCCTGCCGTATTCGTCTCATGTGTAGGTGATCTAGGATTCTTGACAAAACAAACAGATTTTTAAAAAAATATACCAGAGAATTCTGATTCTGGCCAAGGTGGAGTGACAGCAAACAAATTTACCCTCCCACCTGAAACAATAAAAAATCAGACAAAACATTTGAAACAATAGTTTTTAAAACATTGGCGATCAGGCAAGGAAGAACAATGATCCTTAGAGATAAATGATCTACAATTGCCTGAACTTCCTGCCATGGGAGGATTTTCAAGTCACTCAACTCTTTATTGTCATTGTGGTGTCTCTTTTTTCATAGTTTAACTTTTAACCTATTCATGTCTTTATGTTTAAAGAGAGCCTTTGTGGGCATCATACAAGGGCCTTTCAAAATTTTATAGAAAATGTGTATCATGAAAAACTATGCATGGTTTTAAAAATATTTTGCACCTAAATAAATGTATCTTTTAATTCTCTTTTCCCATATATTCTTTGAAGTAAATACATATAGTTGGATCTTGCTTTGTATAGCCAATCTGAATATCTCTGTGTTTTAACTGGAATATTTAAACCATTTACATTTAACACGATCATTGGTATGACTGGATTTAAGTCTACCACCTTTCTATTTGTTTTCTATTTGTTTCATCTGTTCATTGCTTTTTTAAAAATCTTTTTATATCATATTCCATATAGATTTTATAAACACTTAGTAATTTTCATGAAAAAATATATTGGGTTTTATATCAAAATTACTATCCCATGAATCAGTTCATAATTATTTGACATCTTTATTATATTGAATCTTCTAATTCAGGAGCATAATATATAATCCCCATTATTTAGGTATTATTCAGTGTCATTTACTAAAGTTTTATTATTTTCTACACAATGACTGCATATTTTTGTTGAATTCATTATTCAGCATTTTATTACCACTACAAAAAGAGAATTTAAAAATTACTCTAATTGCTGGTTATTGGTGATGGGAAATGCAAATCACTTTTGTGTATTGGTTTTTGTGTCCAGTGAACTTGTTAAAATAGCTTGTTAATTCTAGTAATTTATCTGTGGATTATGTAGACAGTCAACATCTGCCAATAATGACAATTTTGTTTCTTCCTTTTCAGCCTTACAATTTGCATATATCCTTCTAATCCTACCACATTGTACAGTTTTAGAATACAATCTTGAACAGAGGGCTGTTAGTGAACACTTTTGGTTTATTTACAATCTTGAACAGAATGCATTCAACATTTTACCCTTACATATGATGTTCGCAGTAATTGTTTAAAAAGATTCTTTTTTCTGGCTATGGAATTTTCTATTCTGTCTTTGCTAAGCGTTCATATCACAAATCACAGTTAAACTTTTTTAACTCTCTTATCCCATTGAGGTGGTCATGTGATTTTTCTCTTTTGTCAGAGAATAAATTATTTTAAATTGATTTCCTCATATTAAGCCAACCTTGAACTCCTGTCTGCCCAATGGTAACACACTCGGGATCTCCTTGTGGTGGAGCTTCATTGGTCACTTCCTCTCCACACCTGCTGACATACTTCTGGCTAGTTGACTGTGCGAATAGTAGATAGAGATTGTAAGTAACAGTTCTTACCTCGGAGATCTTGGGATTGTCATAGATTTCTGTAATTTCACATGGTCTCTCGCTTTCCTAAATTGGTTAAAAAAAGAAGAGAAACAGTCACAGTATTTGACCATAGCAATGACTGAAATCAGTGGTTCTTAAAACTGAGTGCAGATTAGATCATCAGAAAGCTGTAAAATGTTAACTAGTGTTTTTAGCCTAGCTGGCATTGTGGTGCAGCAGGTTAAACTGCTCCCTGCTACACCTCAGAGTTCCCACCTCAGAGTTCAGTTCTAGTCCCAGCCCCTCTGCTTCTCACCAGCTCTCTGCTAATGCACCTGGGAAGGCAGTGGAAGACGGCTCAAGTGCTTGGGCCTCTGCCACCTCATGGGAGGCCAGGTTGGAGTTCTTGGCTCAGAGTTTTGGCCTGACCCAGACCTGAATATTGTAGCCATTTGGGGGATAAACCAGCAAATAGAAGATCCTCTCTCTCTTTCTCTCTGTTGCTCTGCCTTTCAAATAAATGAATAAATCTTTTTAAAAAGGAAGTGCACTGAAGATTGAGAAACTATTATTTAATATCACCACCACCTACAACACTTGTTAGTGGTTTCAGGTTACAAGCTTTTGATGGAAAGATGTTCATCTTTCAATATCTCATTTCATCCTACAATTTTACCTATCTCTCTCTTTTTTTAATGACTTATTTACTTTTACTTGAAAGTCAGAGTTACACAGAGAGAGAAGGAGAGGCGGTGTGGGGGGGTGTCTTCCATCCACTGGTTTACTCCCCAAGTGGAAGCTGGGCCAATCCAAAGCCAGGAGCCTCTTCCGGGTCTCCCACGTGGGTGCAGGGGCCCAAGGACTTGGGCCATCTTCCACTGCTTTCCCAGGCCACAGCAGAGAGCTGGATCGGAAGTGAAGCAGCTGGGACTCGAACCGGCACCCAAATGGGATGCCAGCACTGGCAGGTGGTGACTTTACCCACAACGCCACAGTGCTGGCCCCAGTTTTACCTATCTCTTAAAATAGGGAGGGCAGTTTTTATGGCTCCTGTGTTTGAGTTGTATTAGCCAAGGTGTGGAATCATGTAAATTACAAAGTGGCAGAGCCAGAATTAGAATCTAGTTTACTAGCTCCCTGTTAGTACTTACCAGTGCAAAAACAACCATGCGTATCCATAAATAGGGACTAGAATTAGCACCCAGAGTTCAAGTGATACGGTTGTATCACAACCATGAAACCTTGGCGGCCGTTGGTTGGGGTGGCCTCTGAATCCCATTCACGGTCCCCAGAGCCATCTGGCATGGGGAAGTTGGGGAGTGGCAGTGATTTCCGTTCACATGTGTTCAGACGTGGCAAAGGGGCAGAGACAAACAGAGCCCCATCCTTGTACCTCTCCCCACCAGAGACACCTCACCGTCTCTCATTTCATCCCCTCCGTGTGGAACCTGCACTTCTTCTGTCTCCACTTTGGAAGCACACCACAGTACAGACTCATGTGCACCCTAGCCACAAACACCCCTTTCCACTGCTGCCTTCTGTCTTCCCCACGCCATCCTATTGCCAGGTGACCTGAGGGTTGTGTGACACATCAGCTCTGCCTGGAGCACAAGATCACCTTTGAGAGGGAAATAATGGCCCGGAAACGCCACTATTTCATCCTCAGGAAACAGACACCCCCTTAGTCCAAGCCCCATTCACCAAGACACCAACTCCCGCTGGCACGTCAGACCCAAAGATGGTGGTGGTCACCTCCACGGATTCGCTGCCGCCGCGGCTTCTCCGGTAAAGCACAGTAAACAGTAACACCACCAGCAGGGCTGTGGCCACCAGGGATGGCACGGCTGCTGCGATTCCAAGGGAGGGCCCGCAGTCCTGGCACAGGGAGACAAGCAGAGTCAGGGCCTGCCAGATTGCTCAGGAACCAAGGACCCCTTCAACAGAGCCAAAACAGAACAGAGCAGCCTGCCTGGGCCCTCCACGGCAGCTACGAACAAAAACATCCACAGCAAATGACTGGCTTCCTAGGACGCCATTCATATAGTTTAAACCTACTGGGAGAGGATGAAAATCCATTGGAAGAAATGGAGAGTGGGCCGAAGCAGGAGTTCTGGGAGCAGAAGCATGAGCGTCTCCTCTGCAGAGGGAAAACAGGTGCAATTCGGAGCATCAGTGAGATACCGAGTCAGAGCTTTTATTATTTCCTAGGCCATTTTGATGGGATTTTAAGAACTTACTTGCACCAAACACATTAACCAATTGATTTTCAAATTCTAAGCCAACTTTGTTGCCACCTCCATTTTCAAATTTGCAGATTTTCTGGAGCCAGCAAAGATAATCCGCAGAATCCCTGCAAATGTTCAACTCCTACAGAATGTTGAGTTCTTCACTTTTGGGGGGTAGGAGGTGATTTTATTGACAAATGATAAAAGTGCATAAACCACAAATATATAGCTCAATGACTTAGCACATATGAGCACACTCATAGACTCAGCTCCCAGACTGGGAAGCAGAACAGTACCCTGGGACCCCCTCAGTCTCCCTTCCAGTTTCCCTGGGTGGGACCACTCCCCTGGCTGGTTTTGTCTGTTCTACAGCATCAACACATAGACACAGCTGTGAGATGCATACCCTTTGTGGCTGGTTTCTTTGGCTCAACACTGTGGGAAACTCATCTGTGATTCTGCACATTCTCTCTCACTTTGGAGCAAAACTGGCCATAAGAATAATTACTGAGCCAAGTCCTAAGCTTTAACTAATCCTCAACACAAGTGCATGAGTGGGGTACAGACCTATTACCCCACTTTATAAATGCCCAGACCATGTCTCAGTGATTGAAACGACATACTTACTGCTTCCTTCCCACCTGTGGCAGCCGGAGAGGAAGTCTGCATGGAGAAAGAACAGGCCTTGTAAGAGAACAAATCCAGGAATGCTAAGCAGCCAAGGCTGAAGCTCACCTTCTCACTAAACCTCTGTCACCAACAGCACCTATCAAACAGAACCTCGCTTGCTTGCTTCCCAGGCAAGAACTGGATTGGAATTTGGCCACAAGGAGGGAAAATTCAGAAATTCAGGTCATATCTTCATTATTTACCCTGTGGATTTACTGTAACTCAAAAAGGCTTCCTCCTTTCCCTAGTCCCCAGTCCCCTCCAGCACACGGTGGGCCTCCTTGTCACAGTACTGGAGAGGAGACACCAACCAGGACGGTGGTTCCCCTTCCCGGTCTCAGAGGGTTCCGGAAGGGACGGTTCTCGGAGCAATGAGCCGTGAGCCCAGATGGCACCAGAAGGGATGCATTAGCCAGCTTCCTCCTGCCCGCTCGCCCCACCGCTGCCAGCACTGGTTTCTGGTTTCTCTGTGTCATCTTGATGCCATGGGCCAACCCTGCGGTCTCTGTAGGTAGACCTGCTCAGAGGTGACAGCCTGGGGGGAAATTCCAGCCAGGCCTGCCGGAAAAGGTTTTGACAGGTAAGGAAAGGGGTTGGGAGAGCTGTCTGCAAACAACAGGCAGAGGCTGAAGCAGGGAGGCAGGTGCCAGAGCATTGCGATGTGGCCCTGCAGGGCAGACAGCGGCGGGCATCGAAAGTCAGGGATCTGACTTCCAGCTGTTCTCTAAACCATGCCCCATGTCCCTGTAAACAGAGCACTAGCCTGCGAGTCCTCCTCCTAGTAACATGTGGTTTATTCTCTTTGAACAACCATACAACTTAGGAGGAAAAAAAAAAAAAAAACTGACACAGCCAAACCCACTAAAAGCTGGGCCAGGAAAGTGCCTTAGTCGATCACGGCAAGTTACTACTGATCAGAAAACAACCTGGTTAGTGAAATCTACACCGCAGGGAGCTGAAGATGGAAGAGCAGCTGTAGACTGAAACTGGACACCATGACCAACGGAAAGTCACTGTTTTACCTTCCAGCTAACCGCCAGCGTCGAGTCACCAAATGCCCAGCTCGGTTGGCCCATACCTCCCCTTCTAGAATACATCCCGACTGGATAAAGAAACTGTGGGATATGTACTCTATGGAACACTATACAGCAGTAAAAAACAATGAAATCCGGGCATTTACAACAAAATGGAGGAAGCTGGAAAACATCATGCTGAGTGAAATAAGCCAGTCCAAAAGGGACAAATATCACATGTTCTCCCTGATCGATGGCAACTAAACAAGCACCTAAAATGATACCCATTGAAGTGAAATGGACACTATGAGAGACAATGACATGAGCAGCCCTTGTCTAGACTGTTGAGGAACAACTTACTATTTTGTTCCTTTAGTATTTTTGTTGTTGTTGTTGTTGCTCAGTTTGCTCTACACAAGACCACTGGTTGAACTCTGTAATCAATGCACAACCATTCTTAAGCGTTTAAAAATTAATAGGAAATTGATCTTTGTGGAACATGGGAGTGGGAATAAGAGAGGGAGGAGATATATAGGACGGCACATACTCACTCAGACCTACCTCCAATGGTGGAAGTAGAAATGTGCCAGGGGATTTCAACTCAGCCTTACCAAGGAGGCAGGTACCAATGCCAGCACACTTGGTAAAGTGATATGTATAAATACACAACTGATCAAAAAGATAGGGTAAGTGTCGAAGAGATTACACAAATAAGACCAGTGTAAGAAAATAATGAAAGATAGAATCAAAAGGGAGAGAGTGATCCTGCGGGGGAAGCAGGACACACAGCAGATTCATAGAATGGCAAATGCCCAAAACAGCACTCCTGCCTCAGAATCAACCCTTGGGGCATTCGGATCTGACTAAAAGGTCCATGAGAGTCTCACAGGCATGGAAAGCCATGACACGGTGGCAAAAAACAATCTAAATGAAAGATCCTGATGAATAACACCCCAGCAGAAGGATCAGGCCATCAAGGAGAGAGGCGCCTTTCTCTGAAGGGAGGAAGGAACCTCCACTGTGATACGGCCTTGACTAAACACAGAGTTGGTGAACTCAAGGGGCTTCCATAGCCTAGACAGCTCATAGCAAGAGTCTCGGGTGATTGCTGACATCATAAATAAGAGTGCCAATTGTTAAATCAACAACGGGAGTCACTGGGTTCATGCTCCCCACGCAGGATCTCTGTCCTTAATGTGTTTTACTATGAAACTCAAAAACAACACTACTAGTCGAGCAATACCCTATACCTTGTGTGGTTGTGTGAGTGCAGCCTGTTGAAATCCCTGCTTAGTATATACTAAGTTGATCTTCAGTATATGAGGGTAACTGAAAATGAAACGTGATGAAGGGCGGGATGGGAGAGAGAGTGGGTGAGGGGAGGGCCACGGGAGGGAGGGAGGTGGGGGGGGGAAGCCACAACAATACAAAAGTTGCATTTTATATTCTACTTAAAACTATTGGTTGAACTCTGTAATTAATACACAATTACTCTTAGGTGTTTAATTAATGCTATAACTAGTACTCAAACAGTATTTTACACCTTGTGTTTCTGTGTGGGAGCAAAATGTGAAAATCTTTACTTAATATACGCTAAATTGATCTTCTGTATATAAAGATAATTGAAAAATTAATCTTGATGTGAAGGGGAAGGGGGGAGGGAGTGAGAGAGGGGAGCGTTGTGGGTGGGAGGGAAGTTACGGGGGGGAGGAAGCTATTGTAATCCATAAACTGTACTTTGGAAATTTATGCTCATTAAATAAAAAAAAACTTAAAAAAAGTTAAAACAGTGATAAATAAATGAAGTAGAAAAATTGGAAAAAAAATAGAATACATCCCAAGGAAAGAATGTGACACACAGGCAAGGATGAGCTCCAGTGACAGCTATCACAGCATCATTGCTGGTTACACCCGATCAAGTAAAGAAATAGTGACCATCCTTAGTTATGAAGACCGATGGACAGCATTTCTGACATGAAATTTCACGTAGGTAAGAACACGATAGCACAACGACAACAAAACTCAAAATCTGTGTGAGGTCACCTGGGAAGCGGGGGTCCCACACCTGCGGCATCATCTGATGAGAACCTTAAGTTTTTGCTTTTCCTATTTTCCTTTTCAAAACGTGTATTTATTTATAACTGAAAGGTTTACTCTCAGCACCGCTCGCTCTTCACTGGTGCCTTTGCCGGACATTGTAGGCCACTGTGCAGGAGGCGGAGGTGGGGGAGCGAGCTGCCCTGTCATTCTGCCCCATCCTGGCCGACCCACCGGGTGAATGCCGACGGCTGTACTTACCGTGTTAGCCGGCAGTGTGAAGTTCAGTGAAAAACTCTGCAACACAGGAAGAGACATTAAAGCTCCAAGAACGCTCACCAAGCTCCTGATCCTTCTCCCAAACTCACTGGCCCTCACAGATTTCCAGAGGATTCCATAGGCTCAGCCAACCACATCTCTGCTCCTGGTCTCAGCCTCCAGAGAAGGAGGAGGAGCCAGGAGCCTGAGGTCATCCTGAGTCCCGCCCCCTGGGGCCAGTCAGAAGGGCCCCACCCCTCCCCAGATCCTCAGCCTGGGCAGGAGTGAGAACCCGGCAGAGAGACCAGTGCCCCAGCAGCTGTGAGGCACAAGGGCACCTGGACGTGACTAAGAACCCAGGACGTGCTGGAGACTTTTTCTCCCCTTGGAATTCCTTTCAAGGAAAAAACTGTGAATTCAGGGAGTCTTTTGTATTTTGTGTTTGGCACAGAAAATAAAGAGTCCTCAAAGGCCTGCTCTGACAAGGACACCCGACCCTTAAACCACCTTCTCAGGAGTTGCCCTGGGAAAGGCAAGGTGCCTGTGTGTGCTGAGCCTGCCTGTGGGGGTTCCAGGCTCCTAGAACCAACCTGTCTCCACCCTCCCCACACCCATCACCCTGCCTTACCCGCCCTCCCCAACACAAAGTCAATATTTAAAGACCATGGGCTCCAAATAGCCTGCAAGTGCCCACTTCTCTGGATCAAGTCCCCAGGGCTCCTGTCTCCCCCTGGTTGCTGTCGCCCACTTCCAATTTGTCAGTGCCAGTCTTCCTGGGCTGCTCCTCGCCAAGTCCCCTCAGGGCCTGGGCGGGGACAATGTTTGGACCATGCTTTGACTCAGTCCCTGGCTCCCCTGGGCTGCAGTGGTCTGGATTCCACTTTTGAGACTCAGCCCCTTGAGCCCAGCCGTCCCTGACTGTTTCAGCCCCAGCCTTCCCTACCTGCCAGGACTCAGCCTAAACTCCAGCTCTTGATCCTGCCCACAGCCTCCCCAGCCTGAGTCCAGTTCCTCTAAATTGGCGCATTTGCTGAGCTTTAAAATTAAATGTTATCCAGTGATAGGGATACAGCAAAGGATTAAAGTTTCCAAAAGAATCCTAACATTTTGGTCCTGATATGCCTCAAAGGTCAAGGCCTTTGAAACCCTTATTCTGGAGAACAGGAGACCGAGACCCAAGCACTCATCAGAAATAACCTCACAGGTACATGAGAACAATCAGAGCCTTCCTCAAATCAGGCCACGTGGGCTCCGTGCACACGACTCAAATCTAACCAGAAAGGTGGCCACGGAGGAGGCGGTCCTGCACATGCAGAAGGAGGCAACCCCTGTGTTGGCCAGTTTGAGGTGAGTGGGACTCAGCCTGGTTAACAAATGAGAACCCTTTAGGGAGCCCACCTACACTGCTCCTTCCCCCAAGACTATGTGCTCAGGTAAGGTGTTCCATGGTGCTGGCATACTTCAATGGTGACTTCATTCACTTCTCCGTCTCTTAGCAACAGGAAACCAAGGCTCAAGAGTACAAATGGGTTGCCCAAGTCTCACCAGAACCTGGCTTTCCTAACAATCTCTGCCATTGCCCCTTGCAAGCTTCCCAACAATTCCTGCAACTTCTGTAGACCAATTGGAGCCCCCAGGCTCCCAGCACCATGCACTGCTGCTTCTGGAGCACTGTTGGAGTAAGGGAGACATCTGGACCTCTGCAGTCAGGGCTCTTTTGCTCAAGGGACCTAACCACAGCCCTTCTTGGGCTAGCACCAACCGAGACAACAGGTGCTACAAAGACCCTTGGTGGTCGCTGCACTGCAGCTGCCCAGAGCCTTAGCTCATCAGCCAACACTGGCACTGAGGTCAGCAGGCCCAAGACAAAGCTCCCTTTCGGGGGATGGCAGAAGACAAGGGCAGCAACAAGAGGGCCTTTGCACGCAGTGTTTTTCACCATTTCGATGACGACGATTCTGGGCCATCTCAGAAAGACATTCTTATTTTGTAGAAACACAGTGCAGAGCTCTCACGGAGAGAAAAACATCACGTAACTCTGGGTGAAGCAGACGCTGACGCGGTGCTCTGTAGAGATGCAGCTGAGTGAGATGAGAGAGGCCTGGGCTGACGGCCACCTGCCCCGGGCTCCAGTCCAGCCGCAGCCACTTGGTGTGGCCCTGCATCAGTTGCTCAGACACTCAGGCCTCCATTTCCTCCCAACAAATCCATCCCCCAGCCTCAGGTTTCCCATCCACAAAACAGGATACTATTAACTCACCCTGCCCATATCACAAGAGAGTGTCCTTCCAAACTGCAAGTACTCCAGTGTGTGCAGAAGCGCATGGCGTTGTAGTCTCCACGGCCTGGTCAGCACGGAGCTGGGCGTGGGGACCCACTCGGGGAGTTCTTGTTGGATGGGTGGGATTGGACGCAATATCCCCAGCACCACACGTGGTGCAATCCGCTTGCTGTCAATTGCTGGCCTGAGCACTGTGTTGCAGTGTTCTCTGAAGGCGCCCTGGGATCCCAGCAGCTGAGTGTCACTTGTCACTCATGTTTGTGAGGGGAGAGGGGAGGGACAGACACTAACTCACTGTCATCGAGGGTGCATCAGATGCTGAACTCGTAACCTCCCAGCAGGTGTGGAAGCTGAGACCAAGACAGGTTTCTGATCGCGGTGGCGATCAAATTAGACCCCAGCTCTTCCTAACTCCAAAGCCTGAATTTCTCTTTTTAAAGATTCCATGCGTAAGTGAGATCATGTATTTTTCTTTGTGTGTCTGGATTATTTCACTAGTGAAATTTTCTCCAGGGGCATCCAACTTGTGGCAAGTGGCAGAATCTCCTCCTTTTAAAGACTGAATAATATTCCAATATCTACTTATCTATCACCTATCTATCTCTCACCGCTTTTTTTAATCCATTCATCCCTAGACCCACAATCTTTTAATACAGAAATCATAGTCACCTCTTCTGTCTTTCTCCTAACTTACAAACTTAATTTGATTGAGTCACAACCAAATAGGCATCACACATCAGTAAGAAAGGTGGGAAGTCTCTGATGCAATATTGCTGACAAGGTAGCAGAAGGCAGATTGAACAAACACAAATGATGGGATCACTGCTGGGACCCGAGCTTCCACTAGGAAATGAATATAACTCAAATTATCTACTCTGCAAAACGGAGTCTTAATATCAGAGTTTAAAACTGGATCAGCAAATATTAGATGGAAATTGTAAAAAGAGTTAGCATTTGTACACAGGGAGACAAATGAAGAACAAAGTCCTGGATTTCACTATAGTGAGGGTACAGTTAGGTTTCATTGAACTAAATGTGAGCTCTGAAGGCCCGGGGATTGGGTTTCAGAGAGAGAGGAATGGAGACCAGGCTGAGAAAAGCTGCTGGTTCTCACTCACCATTTCCGGAAGTCTTCCAATAGCCTTCTCCTAGGCAGTCCTCAAGAACACGGCCTTGGCCAGCTCCTCGCTCGCCGCGGCTATCAGCAGCTTGTGCCTCCCGTATGCGAGAACATCCAGCTGGGAGAGCTGAGTGAGAGGTGGCTCCGCGAGAGTCCTGGCCAAGCCATGTATGGTCAGGGGAGTAGCCAAGTCCTCAGCCCGTCCCTCGGGGACACGGGCTCCTGCTCCCTGGCACTGCCTATGACCGGAGCCAGTCACCCTCTTTGCCTTTGTTTTCTGTCCTTCTTACCCTCCAGACCACTTTCTCGGTGACACCTGTAAGTCAGCAAAGCCGCCACAGCCGGCCTGAGAGCCTGGGGGCTTCCGCAGCCGGCAGCTCTTTGGAAACAGTAGGTCCCGCAGTTCTGAGGCCGGCTGCTCTGGTGCCAGCGCTACCCTCGCTCCCGGCCGCAGTGCAGAGGCTGCAGGAGGAGGAGAGCTGCCGCCCACTCTGTGTCGGAGGCAGGGCCGTGGCTGCCGCAGGGAACAGCACACTCGGGGCTACCTGGCTGTAAGAGTGGCCTCTGCCCCTCCCGTGGGGCACCTCCGGGAGCTGAGGCGGCAGCCACACAGCCTGTTTGCCATAGCTTATGATGCCTGTGACAAATCTGCTTCTTTAAAATAGTAAGCACTGTGTGTGTGTGTGTGTGTGTGTGTGTGCCTTTCAAATAAAGTAAAAATTTAAAAGGAGAGGAGTGTGCATTTGGTACAGAGGTTAAGTTGTACTTTGGATGCCTGCATCCCTTATAGGCAGGAATGATTTGAATCCCAGCCTCTCTACTTTTCTCTCTTTTTTTTTTTTTTAAGATTTATTTTATTTATTTGAAAGACAGAGTTGCAGAGAGAGGTAGAGACAGAGAGAGCTCTTCCATGTGCTGGTTCACTCTCCAGATGGCCCCAACGGCCAGGAGCCAGAAGCTTCTTCCAGGTCTCCCACACAGGTGCAGGGGCCCAAGGACTTGGGTCATCTTCTACTGCTTTCCCAGGCCATAGCAGGGAGCCAGATCGGAAGTGGAGTAGCTGGGACTCGAACCGGCACCCATATGACATGCTGGCACTGTAGACCAGGGCTTTAACCCACTGTGCCACAGCACCGGCCCCGCTACCCTACTTCTGATCCAGCTTCCTGCCTTGTAGGCAGCAGGTGATGGCTCAAGTACTTGGGTCCCTGTCACCCACAAGGGAGACCACGTAGTGTGGACAAGAAAGAAATCTTTCTCCTGCACAGCCCCCGCAGCCTGGGGGTTGTCTACGGTTGCAGCATAATCAGCCCACGCTGACAGATTCACCGGCAGTCACCTCCTCGCACCCCCAGTGCTCGGGTGTTCGCTGTAGCAGAGAAGCCTTGCCAAGGATCTACTATCCGTGATCTTTGCATCTATGTAGGTATTGATCATGTACCTATCATCCATGTAGCTATCTAGCTAGTGTCTATCTCTCACCTATCTATCTGTCTATCACCTATGGATCTACTTTCTATTTACCTATCATCTAGCTAGCTATATATGTCGTAATCTGTATATCTGTTACCTGTTATCTATCATTTGTTATCTGCATATCTGTCATCTATCAATCATCTATCTATAGTACTGGTGGCTGGAAAAGAACAGAAAAGTCATAAATGCTTGAGATTCTACACACATCACAAAACAGCTACATACTTTAAAGGTCTGGCATCGAGGCCAAACTGAGTGTTTGGAAGAACATGGTCTGACATAATCTTTGCTGATATAACCCATAATACTCCAGTGTACCCCAAGGCCTCTTCATCTGGTCAACTTAAAAAGGATGTCCTTCATTAGAATCTCTTCCTTGTGTTAGGAATGGTCCTGTGTCAGTCAGGGTCTTGTGCAGGAAACAAATGACACACTCCTTTCGCTGCGTTCAGGGGGTTTCACTGAAGGAACTATCAGGTTCTTCCCTGGGGGAAGGGCAGTCCCCCAGGTGGACCAGTAGGGTGCAACTGCCACCCCAAGCCTGAAGCAACAGCGCAGGGAGGGCCCAGAAGGAGAAGAGGCCACCTTATAGGAGCCACGGCTTTCATGTTCAATGTCAGACGTATTCCTGAGGCACGCGGGCAGGGAGAAGGGAGAACAGGGGAACCAAGGGTGCATGGAGGACAAGGGCCATCCTGGGAACTTGGGCAGTGGGAGCTGTCTCCACAACACTTCAAGTATCACAATTCCAGCCTGTTTTGGTCCAAGGAAGGGGCAGGGAGAAAGCCATCTTTAGCTTTGCCCGTGGCTTCTGGGTGCAGTAGGGAACTCCGTTCCGGAGCTGGGCACTCACAGAGAGGACAAGGCCAAGGGAAAGTCCCCCTTTGGACCCTGCCCGGGTCTCCTGACTTGACGGCACTAGTAATCACTGCGCAAGCCCAGGACACACCAGGAAATCTGTGTGCTTTAATGACAGCATCCTTCCTACACAGAGCCACGTGCTAACTCCTCTCCACTTTCTCTTTGAAACCGGCATCAATGTGTGAAATGTAAAATTATACAAAAGAAAAAACACCCACATCCTTACAGATAACACTTTGAGCAGATCTTCTTTTTTAAAAAGAAAGCTCGTAAGCATTTGGGATTGTACACCGGAGTCCACACACACATGCTGAGACCAAGGGAGTGTCTGTTCAGACACTCAGCATCCACAGTGCCGGGGACGATGCGAGCACCGTGGAGTGGACCAGACTGAAGACGAAGGCCGGTGTGAACGCGCGGGTCAACAGGCTTCAGCAAGGGATTTCAATGGACCGAGCACTTCATGAGCAACGGGAAACTTCAGAGGGAAACAGCAAAACAGAAATAGAGGGAAACTTGGAAGTGGAATAGTGAACCAACAGCCAGCCGCACCACCTCTGTTTGGAGAAATTCTACCAGTTAAAATCAATTCTGGATCACCCACCTGCCCTGGAACCCAGGTTCCAGCTTTAGCTAGATCAGAAGACACTAGAAATGGAGCAGGCTGCAGGCCCAGGCCCCAGCTGCTGCCATCAAGAGGCCGTGTGTCTGAGGATCGATTCTCTCGTCTTGGGCCTCTGTGACAACCCCAAGGACTGGCACCCAGTTAAAGGACAAAGCAAGCTGAAGCACCATCCTCCAGCAACTCCATCTGCTTCCAGGGGCGTGTGCAGGGTGCTGGGCAGGGGCCTGGGCCTTTGTGCTGGGCAGACTCCCTCCCATGAAGCCAGCCCGGAGCTCCTGACAGCAGCTGTCCCATGCCTGAATCCCTGTGAGTGTGGGCGGAGCACCCTGGCCAGCCCTAGCTGAGTCAGCGCTGGTCTTTTCTGGGGATGCATCGCTCACAGAAGGCCTAACTAAAGGTTTCCACGAAGGCCCCCTTGCAGCATGTTGGCCATTCAGTGCCAATGGCTGAAGCTGTGTGCTTTTGCAAATGTTCCCACTGCAGAGATAAAAGTAACCATGTCCCACAAGGGTAGCAAAGCCAACACAGGTGGTTACTCCCTCCCACTTTCCCCTGGAGTTTGTTCCTTCTATCTGTACTTTTGAAGATTGGAACTCTGGAATTTTCATTTTCTGGGAGAAAGACCCTGAAAGGCCACCTTATGTAATCTGATTTCAATTTCAACTTTGACAGACGGGAAGAGACAAAAGAAAACCTCTACCAATACACAAACCAGAGACACAGAATCCACTGCAATCAATGAGAACTGGACCAGGAGGCGGCTGGGCAGGGCCTGCCATCCAGCGGCCTCTGAGCCTAGGGGTCAGTATGGGGTCAAGGAAGGCAGAGAGAGCACTTAGAGCAAGGGGAGATATGAGATGCAGGGTCCAGGCTGGAGGCCCAAACAGTAAAGCCACAGCCCAGGGCTGGAGTTTTTCACACTGCACCGATTAAGACTGATAGCTGATCCTTGACATACACAGACATATATACAGACATATATTATTATTAATAATAATAATTTGACTTTTTTCTGTTTTAAGGAAAAAATATTTCCATGCATTTCATTTTACCTTTCTTTGAATTATTCTCATTTCTACTCCCAGCAATCATTTTAATAGACACAGTCCTCCAGTGGCATAGTCTGACCTTGAACAGATGGAACCTTTAACCTTTGTCAAGCACTTTAACTGAGGCTACATCCCTACAGAGTTGTAGAGCTGGGAGCCACCTAGGCTCTCGTGCCGCCCTGTGTTCAACACCAACCAAACAGGACTCCCGGTTATGTAAACATTATTTTAAAGTTATTCCAACATAAATACTCTTTTAAAGCTAACATACCACAGCTTTTAGCTCATAATGCCCATAGATGCCTTAACGAAATGCCATTCAAAACTACTCCAATGTTCAAATTATACCTTGAGGTGCTAAAAGTATGTAAACATCATCCTCTACACTTCCCGAGAACAAGTGCCAAGTGTTGGGAATTCTGATTGCAAGCGGGTGATTCAATGCTGCCCCTCCGAGCAAAGCTCCCGCCACAGTCTTTCACCTGACAGGTCATAGGAGGCTGGTTGCAGGTTCACGTGTTCCCCTGGATGGTGATTCGTCCACACATGACATCACCAACCAGTTTTCCACAGTGTTCACCCGACAAGGGACTGGTTCAGGTCTCTCCTGTGATGCCTTTGCACGTCTTGTATGCACAGTTGGAACCGGCAGTCAGGGAGTCGGGTTCCCACGGCAGGTGCCTCCTTCTTGGAAGCCCATGGAATCCCAAGCACAGGCGGAGTCTTCTCGGTGAGCCGAGCCAGCGAGGGCAGAAACGTCAGGATGGACCAGGATGTTTCTCATGGGCCGGCTGGGGACGCTGACTCTTACCAGCCAACGTCCTGCTGGTATCCACAGACGGTGCCTTCTTCCCAAATGCAGTTAGGGATGGGGCAGGGCCCGAGGGAGGCCATGAGAAGGGCGCGGAGAAAAGGCTTGAGGGCGCCTGACGTCCTGGCAGTGACCCTCCTGATAGTCAGGGCGCTGTGGCCGTGCGGTCCTGGCGTCCACAGGCTCACGGTTCCTGGTTGGCGCATCCTCGGCAGACGGTAGGCTAAAGGTTGCGGCCGCAGCCGAGGGCAGGCAGGCAGCCGCCGTCAGCTTTTGTCCTCACTGCCCAGAGCAGGTGGAAGACAGGCCGAGTGTCCAGGGTGTTATTAGCCTGCCGACAGCCGAGGATGGACCAGCGCCTGTGGCCTGGGCCCCAGACGCACAGGGGACGAGGAACAAGCATAGCCTGGCTGGTCAATGACTTCGAACCTTCAACCAACATCTTAAAGGGCCACAATTGCTATAATCAGAAATAGAATCAAAGGAACTCGTTGTCTCCTCCTTGTTGGCCAGAAGTACATTTTTCCATCCAAATCTATGCCTCCAAGACTGGATTTTGAGTCTTTAAGAAAAAAATATCGTATATGTTTTTAGGGGTGATTCTCAAGGTGCTAGTTTTGTAAAAACAAAACAAAAACCTCCGTTGGGACTGTGAGGAGCTTGGGCATCACTTCCTCATGTGCAGGGCGTCCTGGAACTTGGTGCTGGTGTACCGGGCGTGGAAGCCTTTCTTACTGATGGTGTCGTCGGTATGGAATCGGATCATCAGGGAGTCCCCGGCAGAGTAGATGTCTTCTGGGGGCTGAGGGAAGGAGACAGGGGGACCAGGGGCACTGGAGTCAGCTGGCTGCCTGTGAGGATGGGACAGGACCCTACAGGGCTGCAGGAGGGCTACTGCTGTCAGCAGGTGTCCCTGGCACCAGAGATTTTGTCCGGTGCCCAAACCCGATCCTTCTCCACCCACAACATTGCAAATTCTGCTCCATGTCATTCCTGGCCGCACCTCTCCAAACACGGTTCTAGACGCCCAGCACAGAGTGAGAGAGTGATTCAGATCTCTCCCACTGCCTCGAGCCCACCTGGGTTCCTGTAGAACCGCGCCCGGCTGCCAGCTGGCACTGGCGGCTACGTGCAGTTGGGGTCCCGGAGCTGGGCCCCGCACATGCTGGGACTCACCCCGGAGCCACAGAAGCGGCCGAGCCGCGGCGCTGAGCTGTCGTAGCCGTCATAGGCCTCCATGTAGTCGTAGCCACAGTCGGCCTCCTCCTCCACCTCGAAGGCACGGAAGACGAGCTCCACGCCGTAGCCGTCCTCAGCCACGATCACCCAGTCACAGCGGGCCTGGCTCGGGTAGTTGCTGTCCCCAAACTGGGCATGGGAATAGAGCTCTTTGGTCTGCACGTCGGCCTGCAGCCTGCCCCCGCACTCTGGAGCGGAGAGAGAACCGAGGTGCTCCCTGGGCGCCCGGACCCAGGTGCCAGCCCCACCTGCTTCCCCCCAGCCCCAGCTTCCTACAGAGGCCATTTCACCATCCCATTTTACAGAGGGGGTAAAAAGAGGCCCACGGCTCTGAGGCCAGCACCCCTGAGGTCCCAGGCTGGGTGCCCAAGGCCTGCAGTTCTTGAGCACGCGCACTCCCAACAGGCAAGCACATCAGCCCATCAGGCTTGCTGCAATGTGCAGCTTCTGCCAAAAGAGGGCGACAAACGCACTCCAGAACTGCAGTGGACTGGGCTGGCTCTTGCATTTCGGAGTATTGACTTTGTGGACCGTGGTCCATCTTTGAACGCCCAGTGGGTATCGTCGCAGAGCCGTGCTTCAGACTTCAGGCAGTGCTCCTTAGCCTGGGCCTCTGAGCGCTTTATTAGGATGGTTGGCCTGGATCCAGCACCCCCTGTGTCTAGGCTGCTGGAGTCCACATACAATATAACGAGTAAGCAGCACGGATCTGGCTTGGGAAGCATCGGAAATCGTGGCAGCGAAGCCCTGCACCGCGAGCGCCCCCTGCTGTAGATTCTGTGCTGCTGTCCGGTTCCCAAAACTCGCCCAGCCTAGCCGGGGTCCTACCCTGCCTCTCACCCTTAGTCTCATGTTTGCTTGGGCTCAGAATTTCTTCCAGGCATGAGCGTTCTCAGGGAAAGTCCAAGAGGGGACAGCTGTGAAATGAACAGAGTGGGCAGGACAGCTTCCACCCAGCCCCGGGGGCCTCACCCCCAGGCCACATGGCTGTCTTCCTGGTGGCCACGCACCAGCAGGCCAGAGCCGGGGCAGGGTATTTAGGCCCCCACTCCTGCACCGCTTGTTCTTCCAGGTTTGAGGCCACTGCACTCTGCTCTCCAGCTGTCCCCAGCTGCCACTCCCTCCTCTTGCCCTCCCAGCTGGAGCGGTGATGGCCTTGGGTTCCCAGCCCCGCAGCGGCACTGTCCCCTGTGGAGCCCCTCACCCCTTTGTGACTGCCTTTATTAAGTCTCAAATGATGCCTCTGAGCATGCCCCACTTTGTCTGCCAGGACCCTAACCCTCCTCGGGCGCCCCCCTGCCTGGCCTCTGTCCTCACGGACGAGAGGGTGAAACCTTTGGTCAATGGATTTCAACTTCTCTGTGAGGAGCTACCTCTCCTTGAGGGGCTTGAAAAGATCCCATAAGCTGGGAAGCATTTTCTGCTAAGCAGGGACGAGCCAGACTCTCTAAGGATGCTGGGTGATTTTTTGTGACCCAAGCCATATTTTCTGGCACTGAAAAACAAACAAACAAAAAACAACCCTGGAGGGGTAGGCACCTGGCACAGTGGATACAATGCCTGCATCCCATTCAGAGTGTCTGGTTTCAAGTCCCAGCCCCACTTCCCATCCAGCCTCCTGTTAATGCTTGCCTGTTAATGCAGCCTCCTGGGAGGCAGTAGTGATGGGTGAGTATGGAGGTACCTGCCACCCACGTGGAGAGCCCCAGTGGAGTTTCTAGCACCTGGCTTTGTCCTGGCCCGGCCCCAGCTCTTGGGGGCATTTGAGGAGTAAGCCAGCAGATGGGAGAGCTGTCTCTCTGCCTTTCAAATTAAATAAGGGGTCAGCGTTGTGGCACAGTGGGCTAAGCCATTGTCTAGAATGCCAGCATCTCATATCAGAGTGCCAGTTTGAGTCCCAGCTGCTCCAATCCAGCTCCCTGCTAATGCGCCCGAGAAAGGAGTGGGAGATGGCCCAAGTGCTGGGCTCCTGCCACCTATGTGGAAGACCTGGATGAAGTCCCTGGCTCCAGCCAAGCCCAGCTCTGGCCAGTGTGGCCATTTGGGGAGTGAACCAGCAGGTAGAAGATTTTTTTCTCTCTGTCTCTCCCTCTCTTTCTGTCACTTTGCCTTTCAAATAAATAATTTTTTTTTTTTTACAAATCTAAATAACTCAATGAACACTGGGGGCAGGGGGCCACTGGAAGGCTTACAGGGTCCCACAGTTGTGATGTCAGACTAGGCACTGCAGAAGGTAAGGGTCTCAGGCAGCTGCCAGCTCTGCCAAAGGCCCCAACCTGAGGCCAGGATCAGTGTCAGAGTTGCATTCATGGCTTCTACGGCCAAGGGATGCCGTTTCCACGACTCAGAGCAGAGTCAGTTTTCTTTCTTTTTTAAAAGATTTATTTATTTATTTATTTGACAGATAAGTTACAGACAGTGAGAGGGAGAGACAGAGATCTTCCATCTGCTGGTTCACTCTCCAAATGGCTGCAACAGCCAGAGCTGGGCTGATCAGAAGCCAAGAGCCTCCTCTGGGTCTCCCATGCAGGTGCAGGGGCCCAAGCACTTGTGCCATCTTCTACTGTTTTCCCAGGCCACAGCAGAGATGCTGGATGGGAAGAGGAGCAACCAGGACTTAAACTGGCACTATAGGAGGTGCTGGCGCCGTAAGTGTAGGATTAACCTACTGTTCCACGGCGCTGGTCCCAAGAGTCAGTTTTCTCACTTTCTACTGTTTAGCAAAGCACACCCTGCAAATCCCAAGCATCTTTCTCCAAAGGAGCCACCAGAACAGCTGACATTCTGAGTGGGGGAAACAAGTGGGGAACAGGAAGAGCTGTCAGTTTCCCAAGAGGGTATCAAGGGCTGCGCGCCCCCACCCAGCTCCCAGCTTCCCCAGACCGGCAAGATCACAAATGCAGTTTGAAAGGGAGGGAGGAGAGAAGGAAACGGGCCCCTGGAATGTCCTCAGTTAAGGACACGAAAGGGAACAAGCTCCCCTCTCCCTGGGCTTGCTGATGTTCCCCTTCCCTGATCAGGGGGCTCTGCCACACCCTCCCGGTCACAGCCGGAGGCAGACCTGGCCCTCCGCCCCCTGACCCGTGGAGGCGCGCCTCGCCTCAGGCTGGGTCCGGCCCCGCGGGCCCCCGTACCTGTGCTGTGCACCGCCTGGAAGCCCGTCCTCTGCACCGAGGCGTCCGAGTAGAAGCCAAGGAACAGGCTGCTGCCCGAGGCCAGCACGGGCGCGGGCCTCTTGCTGCCGCAGAAGCGGCCGAGGAGCGGGGCCAGGCTGTCGGGGCCGTCGTACACGTCCAGGTGGTCGTAGGCGCACTCCTGGTGCTGCTCGATCTCAAACTCATTAAACGTCTGGGGAAGCAAGAGCAGGAAGTCAGGCGGGGGCTGGGGGGCGGGCAGCCAGGCTGACCCTTGCGGACATCTGCGGGGAGTGAATGTGACCGTCTGCAGGGCAGACGCGGGGGCTCTGGGAGTGTCAGCGGCAGAGCCAGGCTCTCCAGATCCGTCTCCGTGCACCCTCGAGCGCGGCTTCCCCACGTGACACGAGGAGCCAGCAACGCCCGGGTGCTCGCTGACCAGACTGAATCCCTCAGGGGACCCTCACAGCCTTGAGCTGTGACTAACCTCACCTCACAGGCGGGGAGACCTGGCTTCCCCAGGTCACTCGCTGGTAGAGCAGCGAGGCCTTGACCCAGGGGCTTTGGTTTCAGAGACCCGCTCGGGACTTCTGCGCTCTACTACGTGACCTTGGAGCACAGAGGACATCGATGAGGTTGGTGGAGCGCAGGCGGCTCCCTGCGGGCATCCTCACAATGGCTGACTCAGTGTGCCCATGCCACGCATTTACGGGCATTTTCCCACTTCACTCTGGCAGTGCATTCCCTGCTGTGCACGAGAGGAGTCCTGGAGAACGGCGGCTTGCCCACGCTCACGCGGCTGGAGACGGACGAAGCTGACCTGGACGCCCAGCCAGCCTTCACCAGCCCACAGTTCCCGTCATCATCAGGTTACTCGGGCTCGGCCAGAGCTGGACGCGGGAGCCCCCGCCTTCCAGCTGGCTTCTCAGCTGTCAGGGCAGGCTTCCTGAGTGCTGCTGGGTGGACGGGGGACTAGGGGCCATGGCATCGAGGAGACGGGACAGGGCGACAGAGGACAGCGGCAGGGGATGACTTGGGGCAAAAGACACAGACAGGATATCTTTGGGCGGTCAATCCAAACGAAGAGGGCTGGGGAGTGGCTGCGATTAGATGGAGGTGGGGAGGGGGACAGGTCATGAGCAGGGCAGGCGTCCAGCGGGGTGACAGTGGAAGTGGATAAAGCTCTCCCAGCTTAGGAAAAAGGGAGTTTCGGGACCAGACAGTGGTGGGAGAGACAACGGGCTCAGGGCAGGGGTCATGCACTGGGAGGGAGATCAGGCCAGGGCAGTGGGCAGCACCCCAGGGGTGCATGGCACACCCCATGCTGTTGCCCACAAACACCAGCTTTCTGAGAAACACTCAACTTGCATCTACAGTAGCAAACAGTCAATATATCCACTACCCACTTTCCAAAGAAACATTTTTTAAAAATATTTATTTGAAAGACAGAGAAACAGACAGAGACAGAGAAAAGGAGAAAGATCTTCCATCAGATGGTTCACTCCCCAGTAATCACAGCACCTGGGACTGGGCCAGGCTGAAGCCAGGTCCTGTGGGTCTCCCATGGATGCTGGCACTGCAGGCAGCAGCTTAATCTGCTATGCCACAGCAACAGCCCAGAGAAACATCTTTTAAAGATTAACATGTTGGGGGCTGGCACTGTGGTGTAGCAGACTAAACCTCCACCTGTGGCCAGCATCCCATATGGGCACTGGTTCATGTCCTGGCTGCTCCACTTCCAATACAATTATCTGCTATGGCCTAGGACAGCAGTAGAAGATGGCCCACGTGCTTGAGCCCCAGCACCCAGGTAGGAGACCTGGAAGAAGCTCCTGGCTCCTGGCTTCAGCTCAGCTCAGCTCAGCTCAGCCATTGTGCCATCTGGTGAGTGAACCAGTGGATGGAAGACCTTTCTCTCTGTATCACCCTCTCTAACTCTGTCTCTCAAATAAATAAATAGTCTTAAAAAAAAAAAAAGAAAGAAAGAAAAAAGGAAAAACCCTAACATGTCTGGACAGGTGTTTAACCTAGCAGGTAAGATGCCAGTTAGGACACCTCCCTCCCACATTAGGCTGCCTGGGTCCAACACCCACCTCCAGCTCCTGACTCCAGACTCCTGCTAATGCAGACCCTGGGAGGCAGCAGGTGATGGCTCAAGTAACAGTTCTTGCCACCCATGCACCCATGTGGGAGACCTGGATTAAGTTGCTGCCTCCTAGTTTGGGTCTAGCCTAGCACCCACCCTGGGGGCATTTGGGAAGTGAACCAGTGGATGGGATCCAACAATCTCCACCCCCCCCAAAACACACACACACACACACACACACACACTCGCCTGTGAACCTGGGATGAACACCTCCCTGTGTGTGGTTGCACCACACTAGCCCCAGGGGGCGCCATTCCCTCGCTGTTATCTGGGATTTCTGCTGCTACAGCCAACATTTTCCAGCAGAGGGCAATCTTCTAGTTTCTCCAGTAAACGATCGCCGGCTCCCACACAGATTCCCGGCTATTCTCTGACCCACCCAGGGCGGCCGCTCTCAGGAGCACAGCAAGGGGCAAGCAGTTCCTGCATGGGGAGCCCAGGCACAACAGGTGCCTTCTGGGAGCGCCCAGTGGCCAGGGCTCTACCTTTGCCCCTGGGTACCTGGGGAGCCCCTGCCCCTGCCTCTGCTCCTCACTCACGCGCTACACCCCTCTGCCCCAGCACACACCCTGCCGAGCCGGTGCGAATCCTCTCCGGAGCGACACTTTCTCCTTGGTTCCTTCTCTTCCCCCGGGATTAGTGGTCCCTCACGCTCAGGCCAGCCTTCCTATCTCCGCGGTTGGAACAACTCATGAAAACGCAAAAGCTCTGGAGCACAACAGCTTCTCCAGCGGGCAGGTGGCTTTGCTTCATCCTGCAGGATCTGGGAGTCCCCGGGGGTCCCGTTCCTCCCCTGAAGCAGCCCACGCACCATGCCACTTTACATAAAGGCCGGGAAGACTGTTGCATTTTAAACATTCAAGAGAGAACTTGCATGAAGAATCTAGTCTCCTATGGTTAACTGGGGGAAAAAAATGCAAGTTGTAGAATATGAATAATAAGCTTCTATGTGAGTAGTGTAAGAAAAAAGATCTATATCTTTCCTGTGCCCACACATACATAGTGTGTGCATAGGAAACTTCTAGAAGGCTTCACAAGAAAGTATGCAGTGGTCGTTTCTAGAGTGGGAGTGAGGGACCTGGGAACTCTGGTATCCCAACTTTCTGCACAGATTGCATGAATTTCATGTTACCTTGAGAATATATCGTTTGGTAAAAATTCAAAACTGGACACTACCAAATCTCCGCACGGTGAGGGGGTGGCACTTTTGCATCTCCCTTCCTCTGCACGGCAGCCCCCATGCGATGGGGCTCGTTATCATTTTCACTGTGTGCACTGTGAGGCCGGAAAGGCTGAGTAACTTCCCCACGCGTCAGAGCTGGGAGGTGGCAAACAGACACTCCAACCCCTGCCCGTCCAGCACTCAGGTCCATCCGTGTTCTTACTGAACCACAAAAAACGACTCACGAGTTTCACCCTGTGGCCGGCAGTGGACGAGATGTTCCAGGTGCACTCCCTGCGGCTGGGGTACTTGTCGGGCCAGTTGGGGCTCGCCAGGGTGCCCTCAGCACTGCTGATCTTGTGCACACAGCCAGCTGGGGGACAGGGAGAGACAGAGGCATCATTCACCTGGGGGCAGCACCAAAGGTGTTCCAGGGCCATCTCCCCTCTGGACTAGCTCGGGGTGGAGTCAGTCGGGTGTCCCCACGGGAGGGGTTTGCTGCCTGATCTGAGCCGGCTTCACTGCCTTCCTGGCTGCGGCTCCAGAGCCAGGTCAGCTCTCTTACTGTCACAGTTCATATTGTGGGAAAGTTGGTATTAGGCTAAGCGTCCGGGCTCGGCGGTCAGTTATCCTGGTTCTACCATCTACAGCGTGGGGGACCTGGGCCCATATGTCTATATCTGTGAAAGGGGAGCCGACCTTGCCGGGATGACACGTGGCTGAGATGGGACCGTGCGTGCATGAGGCTCAGCGAGCGCCAGGCGCCAGTGAGTGCTCAGCCACTACTGGCACACAGCGATCACAGGCCTGCCACCACGTACCTCTGCTGGTACTCAGAGCAGTCCCCTCTGCCCGGGTTACAGCGCTCCGAGCAAGGAGCGGGCCCACAGCCTGCTCAGTGCCTAGCACTTTGGCCTGCCTCCATGTTGAGTGTGTAGTAAGCACTGTGTATGCATCTCCTCCATGACTCCTTCCCACTGGCCAAAGAGTACAATTAGCTTAGAGAGGATCTGTGCCGTGCCGGTAAGGGGTGCAGCCAGGACTCGAACCCCACCTGCGCCATCATAGGGCCCCAGGCAGGAAACATGGGGGCTTCTGGCTGGGGCGGGTGGGGGTGCAGCAGGTGCAAGGATGTCCTTAAGAGGACTTCTGCTGCTCAGTGCTGACCCACTCTGCAGCCAGCGAGAGAAGAGGTGCCAAGGGGGTCAGGGACTGGGCTGCTGGCACGCCTGCTCTCGTGCCCCCTGCCCCATCCGAGGGGACCCCACAGGATCTTGTTCAGTGGCAGAGTTTATGTCCCTCCTGTCCTTGCCGCTCTGGCCCAGGCGCCTCCCAGGAACCTGACAATCCCTTCCAGTTCACTTCTGCCCACTTCCCAATCCAACCCCATGACCGACCACCAGGGTCCTGGCCACACAACTCCCTGGACCCCCATGACTCACTCTGCAGGGTTCTGTGGTTGGGGCCAAGGCCGGGAGGCTGCCATGTTTATCGCGGGTGCTCAGACACCCTTCACTGGGCAGGGGAAGCAGAGAACACTCTCCAGAATGGCTGGACATTCAAGGCCAAATGAAGCTGGGGGCAAAGTGCCTCCCAAGTTCTCTACTGGGAGAGCTGTCTGGGGAGGCAGCACTACGGACAGAGATGCTGACAGCAGTGGCATTCAAGTGTTAAAGTGTGCCAGGTCATCCAAAATATTTCCTGGGCATTCTTGTAATTCTCACAAAGACCGTAGGAAAGACGTAGGAAAACTGAAGCTCAGGCTGGTGCCACGGCTCACTAGGCTAATCCTCTGCCTGCAGCACTGGTACCCTGGGTTCTAGTCCCAGTTGGGGTGCTGGATTCTGTCCCGGTTGCTCCTCTTCCAGTCCAGCTCTCTGCTGTGGCCCAGGAGTGCAGTGGAGGATGGCCCAAGTGCTTGGGCCCTGCACCCGCGTGGGAGACCAGGAGGGGGCACCTGGCTCCTGGCTTCGGATTGGTGCAGCGTGCCGGCCATAGCAGCCATTTGGGGGGTAAACCAATGGAAAAGGAAGACCTTTCTCTCTGTCTCTCTCTCTCACTATCTAACTCTGCCTGTCAAAAACAAACAAACAAAACAAAACTGAAGCTCAGAGAAGTAACTTGGCCAGGGTCACACAGCTAATGAGTGGCACAACTGGGATTTAGACCTCGGAGGTGTGATCCGGAGCCTGCAGGTGCCACTGCTGGGCAATAATAATCCAGGCAGGAGAACCAGGAATGGCCCACGTGCCACCGGAAGGGATGAGCTGGCTGTTCTGGGGGCAAAGTGCAGGAGCGCAGCTGGGGGGCTTCCACCAGCCAGCGGCGGCGGCTTCCCACTGCTCCCCTCAGCAAGCAAGCACGCACGTGCACACGGGGGACGGGAGCTGCGGCCTCACCCTCCTTGCAGTCGTGGCCATTGTCGTGGAGCCGGTAGCCGTTCCTGCACCTGCACAGGTAGCTGCTGAACGTGTTGACGCACTCGTGCTGACAGCCACCGTTGTCCTTGGAGCACTCGTCCTTGTCTGGGGAGACAAACGGAACGCACTCTCCAGAGAGGAGTCATGGGTGTGGGACGTCCCTGCCTCCGCGTCCCGGCTGCGCCCCCCCACCCCCACCCAGAGCCCGCCTACCTGAGAAGAAGTGGGCCCGGAAGCCGCGTTTTGAGACCGTGTTGTCCGACTTGAACTCCACGCGCATGTTGTTGCTCTGGGACGTGATGGCGTCGGGCGTCTCGGAGCCGCAGAACCTGCCGTGCAGCCTGGCGTCAGGGGCTAGACCGCTGCGCACCTCCACGAAGTCGTACTTACACACCTGCAAGGGAACACGGTGGGGAGCGGCCCCTGCCCCGGGGGCCAGAGGGGCTCGGCTAGGTGCAAAGCTGGGGGTCTCCCCCTGCTCTTACTGTGCTGGGCACCGGAATGAGCTCCAGAGTGGGGACAGGGGGTCCCTAACGCTCCAGCTGAGTGCAGCGCTTGGAAACCCTTATAACTCTGTACCCGTGCTGCCCCTGATTCTACATAGTGGGCAGCCCCTGAGGTTTCACTTGTAGGGGGAAGAAAGAGAAGAGGAGGAGGGGGGAGGCAATTTTGTAAACCTCAGGCACAGTGCAACTCCACTGTATTTTCATGCAGAGAGACTGAAGCCAAGAGAGGGAAAGACATTCCTCTGAAGTCACACAGCTCCGTCTGCAGTGGTGCAGCCAGGACTAGAATCCACGTTGCCTGCCGTGGCACTGACTTCTCTTACGAAGAACTTAACTGCTAAGTGATCCATTGTGTTCTGGGGTTTGTTTGTTTCTGAAAATATTCACTTTAGGGTGAGCCCCTCATGGGCATGGGAGCCCCTGAGTGTCAGGGCCATTGGCATTGGGCTCTTCAGTCGGTACCCAAAAGGCCTGCCTGGTCAGGTATTAGGCAGGCTGGTGGTGTCCTTAGGGTGAAAACCGCAGCTGGGCGGGGGACAGGCAGGACATGGAGAAGGGCCTCTATGCCCGGGGCTGGGGGTGGGTGGAGGGCATGTTCTAGCCACAGGTGCAGGGTGCTACCCGGCCTCAGCTGACTTGGTCATCCAAGAAAAGGAACAGGCTGTCCATGGTGCCCACGTAATTCCCAGCTAGACGCCGGTCCCAGGTTCACACCCCAGGGCACAGTCCTGTCCTGACGGCCCCCCACCACACAGCACCTGCCTCCTTCACTCGCCTAAGTCCTGGTTCTCCTAGAACCCACCCGTGACGAGAGGGCCGGAGGGACTGTTCTGTGCAGGACCTGCAGCTGGAGTGCAGAAGACAACACTCTCCCCCTTCTGTCCTGCTGAGATCTATCTAGGACCATGTGGGAAGCTCCGGCTCTCTGCCCCCATCACCATGCAACACAGCCACCAACCAATGAGAGCGCAGAAACCTACGTCATTGCCTTCCAGTTCAAACACCTCAAACTGCAGGGAGATCCGGAACTGAGCTGGGGCCACCACCTGCCACACACAGTTCTTATTGGTGGGGTACTCCTTGGGCCACCCGGGGCTGGTGATGGTTCCATTCAGCTTGGTAATGAAGCCGCCACAGGCCACTGCACAGGAAAGCAGACACAAGATTGGGTGTGTTCAGTTCTCCAAGCAGCAGCCAAAGTTCTGTTCTTAACAACGATACAAATAAATCTTTTTTTTTTTTTTTTAAACAACTGTGTCCTTTTTTCTGGACAAGTCTTGACTACTTAAAAAAAAGGATGGCAGGGGCTGGAGCCGTGGCTCACTTGGTTAATCCTCTGCCTGTGGCGCCGGCATCCCATATGGGTGCCAGTTTCTAGTCCCAGTTGCTCCTCTTCCAGTCCAGCTCTCTGCTGTGGGCCGGGAGGGCAGTGGAGGATGACCCAAGTGCTTGAGCCCAGGAGGCACCTGGCTCCTGGCTTTGGATTGGTGCAGTACCAGCTGCAGCGGCCATTTGGAGGGTGAACCAACGAAGGAAGACCTTTCTCTCTGTCTCTCTCTCTCTCTCACTGTCTGAAACTCTACCTGTCAAATTAAAAAAAAAAAAAAAAAGGATGGCAGTGGACTTGGCCTGTCTTCAAGTCACATAGGCTCCACATGACTTGGACCAAAGCAGAATCAGGAATGCGAGCACCAGGCTATTCAACATCCCTGGCTTTCATGGACACAGAGATCCTTGCAGGCCGGCAAGGCAAAGAGAACCCCGGCCACGTAGAAAAGAGGTAGAAGGGAAATGTGCTAGCAGGTTGAGTTGCACCAAAGGGTTCATGGTTTTTCTTTGCTTCTGTTTCCTACCTTAATAATCATAAGGATTTTACGCAGTCACAGAAGAAAGTAAACCATGGCCCCAGCCCCACCTCTCTAGGGTGGAGGTTATGTGGCAGCTCACTCACAGTCACGAGGGCAGTGCAGGTGCTTCTCCCTCCCAGAGGGAGGTGGATCCTGTGCACGTCTGTCCATCATCGTTGCACAGCCAGCCAGCTGCTCCATCCCTGCCCCACCTCCCCTAGGACCCTCCCCCACCCCCTCACTCCGGCTGGCAGGCCCCACACTGACCTTCGCATGTCTTCTTGTCAGGGGCCAGCTCATAGCCAGGGTCGCAGGCACACTTGTAGCTCCCCAGCGTGTTGACACAGCGATGCTCGCACCCGCCGTGGTCTGGCCAGGAACACTCGTCCACCTCTGTTGCAGAAGGAAAGCCACCTGGTCTGATCCCCAAAACTCTGCATCCCAGGGAACCCTCAGCCAGCGTCCTCTGAGAACAAGGGTGGGTGGCTCCTGGTGACCACCTCCCAAGGAACCCCAAGTCCACACCTGAGAAGCTGGCTGTAGTTACAGCAAGGGCTGAGATGCCAAGAATAAAGACAATGCATCTGTCGGCCAGCCAAGGGCTCCTCTGAGATGAGACCAGGCCGGCACAATGGACTTCTCCAAGGTGTCCAGCCAGCACTGCTCATGTGTGACTTTAAAACACTCATGAGGCTCCATACACAAGACTTGATCAAGGTTTTGATTTTTAAAATTCTTTTTTTGGACCCATTTATTTGAAATGGACAGAGATTTTCCATCCACTGATTCACTCCCCAGATGCAACAGCCATAGCTGGGCCAGGCTGAAACCAAGAGCCTGGAACTCACTCCAGGGACCCAACTACTTAAGCCATCACCTGCTGCCTTCCAAGAAAGACATTAGCAGGAAACTAGAATTGGGAGCAGAGCCATGACCCGAACCTAGGCGCTCCAATGTTACGTAAGCAACCCAAGCAACGTCATCACTGTTGCACCAAGCACCCACCCCAGACTTCACCAATTTTAATGCCATGTAACTAGGCAATACCCCACCCCTACCTTAAATATGTGACTTCTCAGAAACATTAATTAAAGGATCAACTAAAGGGCCCATTTCTAGATTTATAAGTATTTTCTAGATGAGCCAGACCTGTGATTTGGCATTTTTGTGAGTACTCTTAAGAGGTGCACATGGTAACAGAAAACACTCTTAGGTTAGCCAAAGGTCCTGGGAGAAGCTGCAGGATGAGGCCACTAAGAGGCTCAGCACCAGCAAGTGTCTAGTGCTGTGTTTGGGATAGTTGGACACTGGTAAGCAGATGCCACGAGTGCCATCCAGAGGAAGAGTACATGAGCCACTGGAGCGTCTTCCCGGACATATTAGTCCCTGTGCCACGGAAGACAAGGAAAGCCCCAGGACTGGGCATCTCCAGGAAGAGGACTGGAAACCAAAGGAAAAACGGAACTGTTGCTGAGCGGGGGTGCATCTCTCCATGAAAGAGGGCTTGCAGCTGCAGCCTCACGGAGCTAGCGGAGTCCGGGGGTAGGGGGGCAGCCAAGCATGGAGACATCTTGTTCAAAGTCCAGTCTAGGAAGCAGAAAGGGCACAGAGACAGGGCATGAAGAGCTTTGGTCCACAGAGCCCTGGAAGGTAAGACAGAGCAGGTGTGGCGCCCACTAAATCCTCACCACACATTAAAGAAACTGGGACATCAAAGAGCCGATAAAGACCTGAGAAGTCTCTCTCGCCAGCTCAGGCAAGGATCCTTTTAAGGACTTTGCTGGGAGATGGCTTTTCAATCCTCCCAGAGCTAGGACGCTTGTTACTTTTCAAAGGTTCTGTCTCGGGTGGGAAGTCTGGCTTCGTGCAACCGCCAAGCCATTTAGTCCTGCAGAAAATGCGGACCCTGCAACCAGCACAGCCTCTCAGCTCTGCTGCCTTCCAGCCCAGGGGACCGCTTCCTCCCCATCCTTCCTGTCTGTCCCGTGCACATTCCTCGCTGGCCTGCTTGCTCCTCTCGGGGGAAGGACCCTCGGAGCTGCCCCCTTGTTTCACACAGTGGGGAGTGAACTTGGGCAGCTGTGAGAGCGATGTGTCCTTAGGCTCAGCAGAGGCTTCAATGACTTGATTCTTAGGGGTGCCTGGGCTTCGGAGAGAGGCCCAGCCAGGGAGTTGAATTGGTGCATGGCCTCAAATCAATGAAGTAGTAAGAAGACTCCAGCCTTAAAAGCGAGTTAGACCCGGGTTGGGTCCACCAAGGGGTCTTCCCCCAACCAACTGGGAAACCGCTGGTGATTCAGCCTCTGGGAGCCTCGACCTGCCTTCCAGTGAAAATCCAACTGCTGTTTCCAGGGTCGTGCAGATTGAACACGGTGCACACAGAGTGCCCAGCACACAGAGCTCTTGCCGTAGACAGCAGTAGTAGTGCCTGAGGACAGGAAGCAGACAAGGCAGGAACAGGGCCAATGAAGGGAGCGGCGGGAGGTGGGGAGGGCAGAGCTGCCCCGCGGGTGCCAGAAGCTGGCTGGCGGGCAGAGGGAGAGGGCAGAAGGAAGTTGAGGAACGAGCCAGGCAGAACAAAGATAACAGAAGCCCAGGCAGGGGCAGGGGAGCCTCTGATGTCAGAAACCGTGCTTGCTGTGGGTAGGACCAAAGAGGAAGAGAGGGCCCCAGGTGAACAGGACTCGGTGGAGGGAGCGGGGCCGGTGGAATAGATTTCCTCCACAGCAGAATGGGAGTTGTTTGGCCCAGGAGCCTGGGTGAAAGGCAGACTTGTACACCTGTGCTGTCTCCAGCAAAGGTGACAGGACAGTGGCCACGTGTCACCCTGCTCCCGCTTGGATGGGGTCCCTGGTGTCTGTGCGAGGCTGGCGTGTGCATTCCTCGGTGCTGCCTTGTGGTGACATCTGCTCCAAACTCTGGCTCCTGCTTGTTCTGTGTGCAGGGACCAAGGCCAAGCCCCTCAGAAATATCTGGGAGGGCACGGTGGAAGCAAAAGGGCCTGGCCGAGCCTGGCGGGCGCTCTGCTTCTTTGCCTCCTCTGCTGGGATGAGAGCAAGAAGGGGCCAGTGTGTGTAATGGGAAGGCTCAGGTAGGATCCCAAAGTGGCTTCAGAGAGAGCGAGAGAAAGGGTCGAGGGGGCACATCCCCAGCCCTTTTGAAGAAATACCTGGAAAGAAGCCGGTCCGCCCCGGCTCCCAGCACGCCGCAGTGGCCCATCAGCTCCGGGACGGGGAATGAGAGGGTCAAGGAGGGAATTCTTGCATTCTTTATGGGGACCGGGCAGGGAGCAAAATGGCCCAGCCAGCCCTTGCAATACTGCTGCTCTCACCCAAAGTAATCAATAGGCTCTGGGGCTGGCTGCCATCTGGCACCAGCAGAGGGCTGCAGAGGCCAACTGGCACCCTGGCCCATGTCCCGTGCCAGCTGGGCCCTGGGCAGAGCCTCCTGCCAACTGGCACTGGGGCAAGAGCTTGCTCCAACACTTCTGCAGGGCCTTTGTCCTTCCCCTCCCAGTTTTTTCCACTAGGGAAGTCCTGACATGGGTGCCAAGTGCTTTGTGTCCACACGACATCCCCCTGGTGGCCTTGCCAAAGGAAGGCGGGGCCCAGGTAGCGGGCTGCAGCCGGCCCCCAGGCTATCCTGTCTGATATGGCCGCCCTCTCCATGCCTGGCCATGGAGCAGGGGAATGTCACCGGCCTGCCCTGGGAGGTGCTGTGAGTGTAAAACCCACCCTGCATCTCCAAGATTTAGCATCTCTAAACCCCCATCAAACATCTCATTAATACTGTGGATACTGGGGACATATTAGGTTAAATAAGATCTACCATAAAATTAACTTCACCTGGCCGGCGCTGTGGCTCACTAGGCTAATCCTCCGCCTGCAGCGCCGGTACTCCAGGTTCTAGTCCCGGCTGGGGCGCCGGATTCTGTCCCGGTTGCTTCTCTTCCAGTCCAGCTCTCTGCTGTGGCCCAGGAGTGCAGTGGAGGATGGCCCAAGTGCTTGGGCCCTGCACCCGCATGGGAGACCAGGAGGAAGCACCTGGCTCCTAGCTTCGGATCCACACAGCGCGCCGGCCGGAGCAGCCATTTCGGGGGTGAACCAACGGAAGGAAGACCTTTCTCTCTGTCTTGCTCTCTCACTGTCTAACTGCCTGTCAAAAAAAAAAAAAAAAATTTAACTTCACCTGTAACCCATTCCTGCAAGAGGGCTACTAAGGAATCTGCAATTACTTATGTAGCTCTCCCTCCTTTGGGCCCTGCCTCTGATTTCTGTTGGACAATGGGTCACAAGAGCATGGTGTCTCAGCTCACTCACCTCGGGTAAGGGTGCCGTGTGAGGCAGGCAGCACAGCTAGCAGGTGCCCAAGCTGTGGAGGAGGAACTGGAACGCCACTCATTCATTGCTCGGTGTTTATGGAGCCTACCGTGTGCCAGGCACTGGGAATCCCCTGGATCCAGTTACAGAAAAGTCATGAGGCCTGCTGGCAAGCAGAGCTAGGAAGAAGGCAGGCGGGACCACTCCCAGAACTTCCGGTGCCAAAGTCAGCGCCTCCCCCCCCCACCCCCCCGCCCCATGCCCTCCTGGGGTGGAGAAGGCAGCGGGGTGACAGGTGTCGGAATGAAATCACAAACATCAACACAAACTCCCTGGCCCCTCCCTGAGGCTTTTGGGTCTCCTTAGTGGAAAGACAGTGGCTTGTGGAGTCCTGCAGCCCTGGATTCTACAGATTCTTCTAGCTTTGCCCCTGTTAGACCCGATCTTCCTCAATGGGCAAGTGGTGTGGCAGTAATGCCCACCGGGGCGGGATGGGGGTGGGGGTGGGGGAGCTGGAGATGCAGTGAGCTAGCGAGTGCATTCTGACACTGGCTGCACCAATGCATGCCATGCTGGCTCCTGCACAGGCCGAGGTGAGGTCTCTGCAGCTCCCGAGCCCTCCTTTCAGACGCGGGAGTGAGGCCAAGGTTGTGTGTCCCCACTTTTCCAAATGCCGCTCTCTGCAGCTCCCCTTGACAGAACGGGACAATAAGCTGGGTCTGTGCACCAAGTCAGGGCAGTGGGCTTCAGTGACCACTGCCACAGGCGTCTAAAACCACGCCTGCAGATTGAAACGGGCGTGAAATGGGACACTGGGGAGCCTGGCCCCGCCAGCAGGCCTCCACCCAACTCCACACAGCGAGGTCACCACCAGTTGCTGACTGGTCTCCTTCGCCCCCTTGGGCTGTTGAGGGCACTGTGTTTTCCCCTGCAAGCCCAGCCCTGTCCATGGCACCCATGCGCAGTGTGATAAATGCTGAATGGGTGTCCACAGTGGACAAGGTGGGAGCAGGATCTTCTAACCCAAAAGCGGAGCTGGTTTTCGTGGGTCCCTGGAGTACATCAAAGCTCTCAATTCGGTTCCCTACACCAGTGCAGCATCACAGAGATACTCCCTTCCATGGCCCGACTGGCATCTCCAATGCCATGAAAGAATCAGGGGGCCAGCGCTGTGGCACAGCAGGTTAAACCATTGTCTGCAGCACCAGCATCCCATATGGGTGCCAGTTCGGGTCCCGGCTACTCTCACTGCAATCCAGCTCCCTGCTAATGTGTGTGGGAAAGCAGTGGAAGGTGGCCCAAGTATATGGGAGATTCAAAGAAGCTCCTGGCTCCTGGCTTCAGGGTGGGCCAGCACAGGCTATTGCAGCCATTTGGGAAGTGAACCAGTGGATAGATGATTCTCTCTCTCTCTCTCTCTCTCTCTCTCTCTCTCTCTCTCTCTCTCCCCCCTCTCTCTCTCTCTCTGCAACTCAGCATTTCAAATAAACAAATCCTTAAAAATATAATTCAGAAAGTCTAGTTGCATGTGACTATCGGGCCAACAGTCAGTCATTACTCAGCACGGCGCGTGATATTTGGGACTTACACTGAGAAATCGTTTTCTCTGAAGTTCAGATTCCGCTGAGCACTGGGCTCCTTTACTTCCTCACCTGGCGACCCTCAGCTGCTTCTCTCGGTCGTGTGCGTCGCTGGTGAGCGGCAGACCCCAGAATGAGGGGTGGGTGGCCAGAGGTGGGCAGCTCCCTCCCCAGAGAACCAACCACAGACCCAGGGGAGAAAGGCAGGGGAAGGGAAGCTCAGCAGGACTGGCACAAGTAGAATGAGACGACGATAAAACATCCAGAATAAAAACCCCACGATTCTTCAGCCTCCCAGAGCTGTCCACCACCTGGGCCCTGGGCCCTGGGCCCTGCGCCACCGTCACCAGACACGGCAGACAAGACACTGCGTGGGACTGAAGGAAGGATTTGGAGACGGAAGGGTTTCCTGGATTTCTGGGTGGGCCTGGAGTCATCACAAGGTCGTATAAGGGAGAGAGAGAGGAGGAAGGTCAAGGTTAGAAGAGGAGACGTGTGGGGCTGATGCAGCACAGCAGAGGGAGACACTGCCTGTGAGGCTCAAGTCCCAGCTGCTGCTGGCCCGTGGCTCACGCCGTGGCCTGTGGCGCCTGCATCCCATATGGGAGCCAGGTTCTAATCCCAGTTGCTCCTTTTCCAGGCCAGCTCTCTGCTATGGCCCGGGAGGGCAGTGGAGGATGGCCCAAGAGTTTGGGCCCCTGCGCCCGCATGGGAGAACAGGAAGAAGCACCTGGCTCCTGGCTCTGGATCGGCGCAGCGCCGGCCGTAGTGGCCATTTGGGGGTGAACCAACAGAAGGAAGACCTTTCTCTCTCTCTCTCACTGTTTATAACTCTACCTATTTAATAAAAAAAGAAAAAGTCCCAGCCGCTCCGCTTCTGTTCCAGCTCCCTTTTAATGCACCTGGGAAGGCAGCAGCAGATGGCTCAAGTACTTAGGCCCCTGCCACCCATGTGGGAGACCCAGATGGAGTTCCTGGCTTCCGGTTTTGGTCCAGTCCTGACTCTGTTGTGGCTGTCTGGGGAGTGAACCAGCAGATAGAAGACCCTTCCCCCTTCCCCCGTGCACTCTACCTTTCCAATAAATAAATAAACCTTAGGGGAAAAAAGCTGGAAGAGAGGCGGGGAGCCTGGAAGAGGCGTGAGAAAGACTCAGCAATATGGCCGGCTCTGAAGAAAGAAGGGGACCATGAGCCAAGGAATTCAGGCGGCTTCTGGAAGCTAGAAAAGGCCAGGACATGGATTCTCCCCTGGAGCCTCCAGAAGGAACACGGCCCTGCCCACACCTGGACCTCAGCCCAGTGAGGCCCATTTCAGACACGCGGCCCCCAGAGGACGGCGGCACCGATGCTGCACCGTGGCCGTCCCATACGGCGTCAGCGGGGAATTCGGCATCCTCACCGCAATAGAAAATGTCTCCCACTTCTAGGGACAGCAGCTGCCTCAAAGGCCCCTTTCCCCGGCAAAGGCCACGAGTGGAATCAGCCACTGTGCCGCTGCATTCACTTCCACGCTTCCATTTCCTCCTGGCGACAACCTGCTGGCTCTTCTACAGCAGGAGAGTCTAGAGCTCAGAGAAGAGGTGCAACCTGCTCAGGGCCACCCACCCAGTGTCACTGCTGTCACCCGTGTCACTACTGCCACACTGGAAGGGGGCTCCCCAGGCTGGGAGACACAGGGCACCTGCAGTCTGGTCCAGCATGGAGTGGAGGCTGTGAACTTCCTTCTAGGCATCTCAAGTGAGGTCACCATGTCCCTTACCTTCTGCAAACACAGATGACCTGTGGCATACACGTGAAGTATGCTTGTTGTAGCCTGGCTTTTTTTTCCCTCACACCGGCACTGTGGTATAGAAGGCTTAAGTCTCTGCCTGCAGCACCAGTTCAAGTCCCGACTGCTCCACTTCCAATCCACTCCATACTAATGTGCCTAGGAAACCATCAGAAGATGGCCCAAGTACTTGGACCCCTGCAACCATGTGGGAGACCTGGGTGAAGCTCCTGGCTCCTGGCTTCAGTCTGGCGCAGCCCTGGCCATCACAGCCATTTGGGGAGTGAACCAGCGGATGGAAGATCTCCCTCTTTCTCTCTGTCTCTCCTTCTCTCTATGTCTTTGAAATAAATATTTAAAAAAAGAAGCAACTACGTTTTGTCTCCAATTATTTTCAGAGCATTATGATTCTTTCTCTGTTTACATTTTGCTCTCCTTTGAATGTCTTTAAACAGGAAAAAACAAAACTAATCTCCCACGTTGTTTGGCACTTGTCAGCGTATAATGCCTCTCTGCAACCACTACACTGGGTCAGGCAAAATGAGCAGATTCCTTTCTCCCTCCTTGACAGAGAGGAATACTGTGTCTTTATTACAGACAACTGGCTGCCTGCTCAGGGTGGCACAGACTGCAGGGGCTCCTTCTGACACCCAGTCTGCTCATGCAGAACCTGGGAGAGGGCCTGAAATAAGGTGCAGAAGTGGAGACTGGGAGTGAGGGAAGGACCAGGGTCTCTGGGTTGGCACAGCCAGGGCTTCCTCTTAGGGTGTGGGCCCTGAGCAGGGAGGGGGAGGGCACCTGCCACTCAAAGGAGGTGTGGAAGCTCCTCATCAGGGCCGCCAGAGGCAGTGGGGGTCTGGTCCCACCAAGACCCCACAGCGCGGCAGATGCCGAGGCCACATGGAGGCTGCTCCTCGCTCTCTCTAGACCTACACTGACCTGGGTGGGGACACAGGTGGGGGGGCTGGCCCGTCAGCAGCTCAGGGCCAGGGTGGCCTCTGCCCCGTGTCAAGGGATGAGAGTCACTCTGGAAAGAGCTTGAGCTGGAGGCAGGGTTTGCGTCCTGGACCTGCCCCATGACTGACCGAGCCCATAGGGCTAGCATGGGAACTCCGGAACCTCATGTGCACCAGGTGCCCGCCGCAGTGGCTGGAGCACGGAGGAGCTCACTTAGTGCTGCCCCTACACCGACATGCCCCGTCCCCGTCTCACGGTGTCCGCTGACCGCATAAGCTGGCCGAGTCCAGTCTCCAGGCACAGCACCGTCTGCTGTCTAGAAGCCAGGGCTGGGCCTGCTCCTCAGCTGCCGTGAACTCCATGGTGTGGGGGAGTCCCCACCTCCTCCCCGCAGGGAGCCCATGGGTGCTGTGATTCATAAGCATGGGGAGCAAGACTGCTTCCGGAAGGGGAGACAAAGGCTAAGTCATACCCTTGAAAAAACTGGCAGCAAAGCCTGCTTTATTGATGGAGCCGTCGGACACAAACTTCATCCACAGCCTGTGGGAGCTCGACTTCACGTCCTCCGGCTTCTCGTAGCCGCACAGGTGGCCGAGCAGGGCGCTCTCGGCCGTGGGGCCGTCGCGGATCTCCAGGTAGTCGTAGGCACAGCTGTCATGCCTTTCGATCTAAAGGGGACAGACAGGGGCCCTGCAGATGACGCCAGAGGGCTTGGCTTGGAGGTCTGTGATTGAGATGGGGGCTTGATGGGCCCCTTCTAGAAATCTATCCCAGGCCAGCACGTGCCGGGCTTCTGCAGCCGGTGTCCCTAGTTGTAGAAGGCAGGGGTGAATCCAGCCTGGAGGAGACTCCGAGGAGACAAAGAGGGGAGAACAAGTCGACAAAACCCCCACGGAGTCCTGCCTGGATGCTGGCCTCCATGGTAACCCTCCCCTCCCCAGCAGACCTCAGACGGCAGGTGGGCCTGAAAGGCCTGAGATGCCTGCTTAGCTTCCTGTTTGATTTTTTTTTTAAAGGGAAACTCATCTTTATGGATGGGTTTTACTGGCCTCCCTCCAATTCCCCCCAAGAAGGTGATCTGAGCACGCTCACCTCAAAAGCCTGGAAGGTGAGCCCCACGTGAAAGCCCTCGGAGACGGTAATCCTCCACACACACTCCTTGGAAGGCCTGTAGTCATCGGGGTAGTTGGGAGACTGGATCTGGCCGGCATCTTTGTTGATGTCTCCACCACAGGTAGCTTTACAAAGACACACAGGACCAGTGAGGGGTCGTCCCTGGTCAGAGCTCACCAAGGAAAGTGGGTGGCCACTTGCCACCACTAGGAGGCGCCACATACCAACATTTTCATCAGTTCAACAAAGACTACCACCAGGAAAGGATGATGGCATGTTTTCAACTCTGATTTCTTTTCATAGAAAGAAAATAACCACATAGAGCAGTGGTTCTCCACCTGCACTGTGCAGCAAAACCACCTGGGAGATTTGAACTGTGGAAACTGGAGCTACATCTCCAGGGTTCTGATTCAAAGGGACCTTGGGTGTGTGGGGGGAATGAGACGCAGTGAAGTTTCCCAGGTGATTCCAATGTGGATGGCAGAGGGTGGAATGGCTGGTCCTGAGGAACACGTGGGCACACAGGCAGACGCACATGCACACGCATACACACGTGTACATATGTGCACTTATGTGCCCATGCATACCTACACGGGCAAGTGCATGTTTACACACACAGAGGCACACGCACACACACACACATGCACAAACACTATTTCTTTTACAAAAAACCAAAATGTTGACAACTCCAAAATTCCATAAGTTAAAGCGGAAGATGGCCTCCATCACCGTGCAGCAGCGTGGGGAGGGGAGTGAGCCAGAGAAACTCAGCTTGTCAAACAAACAGGTGGGTGGAGCCCAGAGCCAGGGCTCCCTCTGCTCCGCCCCCAGCCTCCAAGGCCCATCTGAGAAATGCCACTGGGGATTCCCTGTTGTCGGCCAAAAGTCTTCTTATCCCAGATGAAAGAAACACGGGCCCAGAGAGCAAGCACTCTGCTCAGGCTCCCACAGCTATGCAGGGGCGGCTGCCTTCCACAGAGGTCCACCCCCCGACCTGCCACCCCCGCCCAGGGGACCCCACACCCCAGCGGCACTGCACGGAGGGCTCACGGGTGGTGACAGGTTGACACCACCAATTCCGAGGTGAGCACAGCTGGCCCCAGCTTCCAGAATGTCATGGGACAGGGGCTGTGGGGTGGACCCTCGCGGTGCAGTGCGGTGTGCTGGGGTGTGTACGGGGGGAGCAGGAGAGCAGGCTGCCCGGGAGCCACCCCAGCCCGGCTCCCATCACGCACAAACCTTCGTACACGGCAGAGAAGCCCCTGCCTAGGATGTTGCTGCTGCTGCGGAACTCCACCCAGAGCCGGCTGTCTGTGGACAGCAGGGGCTCCGGGACCTGGTCGCCACAGAACCGACCTGGAAGGCAGAACACAAACAGTCAGCCCACCTGCGACAGCAAGCAGGTGCTCGCCGCTGAGCCAGAGCTGTGGCGTTCCACACGCGGCTCCGTGTGAGCGGCGACACGCACCCTGCAGCACGCACAGGGTGAAAACAGCCAGGCCGGCCACGCGTGTGCTCATTCTGGAGAATTCTGGATTCCAACTGACCCAAGTGCCCAGGGCACAGCCACTGAAGAAGGGCAGGCCAGGCCGGGGGCGGGGGGATGGACTCGGCCTTCCTGATCCATTCGGACCACAGATCAGCCGGGGTCTGTTAGCATTGGACGTCCACGGTTCTGCCTGGTACCTACCGTGTGAGTCACTGAAACCATTCACTAAGCACTGGGCAGCGTGGGGGAGACGAGAAGTAACTACGCCTGAATGAGATGTGTTTTCTTGAGGGACAATGGAAATACTCTGAACCGGATTGTGATGAACAAACTAAAAGCCATCAAGTGCAATTGGTTAACAGTGCACTGTTGGGGCCGGTGCTGTGGCATAGTGGGTTAAACCGCTGCCTGCAGTGCCAGCATCCCATATGGGCACTGGTTCTAGTCCCGGCTGTTCCACTTCCAGTCCAGCTCTCTGCTGTGGCCTGGGAAAGCAGTAGAAGATGGGCCAAGTCCTTGGGCCCCCGCACCCACATGGGAGACCTGGAAGAAGCTCCTGGCTCCTGGCTTCGGATTGGCGCAGCTCTGGCCGTTGCGGCCAACTGGGGAGTGAACCATTGGATGGAAGACATCTCTCTCTCTGGCTCTACCTCTCTCTGTAGCTCTGTCTTTCAAATAAATAAAACAAATCTTTAAAAAAAAAAAAAACACAACAGTGCACTGTGCAGTGCCCAGCTCATATCTCAGTATTCTAGCAGGTATTTAGTGGACACTCGTAGTGGTGGGGCCATGTGAGACACCACACTAGCGACAGAGGGGGGGTGTGGGTGAGAAGGGGAGGAATAAATGCCACAAGGACACTCCCTAGTGGCCGACTGCAGCACCCAGTCCCGGGCAGAAGAGCTGCTAATCTCCTGTGACTTCCTTCCGACGCCCGCCACCTGTAGCCTTGTGGATTTGGTGAGCTTAGTACTGTGATGAGATGAAAATGCTGCTAGCATTTGGCAAGGCTGAGCGCATCAGGAGCCTGTAAATTCTCAGTAATGGTTCCTCTGGCACGGCCACGTAGTGTCGGTTAGCGCGAGTGAGAAGGTGCTGCTGACCAGGGAGGGGACGGCACGGGACGGAAGGCAGGAACTCCTCCTGAGCCAGCTCCCTGCAGTCCAGCCTTCTCCTTTTAAAGCCCCAGTTGTTGCTGCCACTAAGGATTGGTTTCCAGAGAGAGAGGGCCTGGGGCTGCCTGCCTGGCTGCCCAAGGACCCAGCTGCATAAGAAGAACCACCCAGCACCCCGGGGCCCACAGCACACCCCGCTTCTGCTCACTGCCCAGAGCAGCTAGGAACTGCGGGGTAAACTGCATTTTACCACCTTGGCGGAGCTGGACGTGATAGATTCAATTGCCAGTCACTTCCAAGCACTCCTCCCAAACTGCTGTGCGATTCTTAACTAGGTCCGCAGGCCCTAGCAGGAGCTGGTCCTCCCCTCTTGCTACCGACCCGGCTGAGCCAGCCCCTCTACTTCCCACATCAACTACTATCATCAGTCCCTTCTCACAGATGAGAAAACTGAGGATCAGAGAATTTAAGTCTCAAAGCCGTACGTGGAAATAGGATCTGAACCTCGGCAGTCTGAGTCTGGGGGTGCACCATCAGTATCCCCTCCATTGTCATCATCACCAGCACTGCTACCACCATCACTGGGAGCTTCTCTGTCCTGCATGCAACTCGGAGCCTGGTGCAGCTCTGGGTAAACAGACACCCAGTCCACTGCCCCGCAGGGAAGCGGGCGGCCAGGACCGAGGGTCAGAGCCAGACTGTGGAAAGGCCAGGCAGGGCGCTCGGATGGGCTCATCACTTCTGCTTCTGTGACGGGCTGCCCTGCCCAGCGAGCCCCACACGACACTGATGGGCCAGCCTGGCCTCTCTGCACTTCTCTCCCATTTCAGGGAAGCAGGGACAGGGTTTTGTGCATGTCACGGTGACAGAGAAGGGCCCCAGGACACTCGTGCACCCAGCAGCCCTCGGGAGGGGCTCCAGCTGGCACGGGGCGGTCCTCAGCACCCCACACCGCCACCCTGCTCCCCGCTTCAGGAGACTCTCTTAAACAACCCTGAAACTGGAAAAGCAAGCTGGCCTCTTTACCCAGCGGTGAAACGTCCTGAATTCTGCCAGCCTCCTCTGGAAGGAGCGGGGACAGACTGGGCTAGGAAAAGGTGTCACATTCCTAAACTGGAATCTGGTTCCCGGCCAGGGAGGGGGAGCTTAATAAGGATATCAAGGAGAGGAAATGCAGTGGAGGACAGGACAAGTGGGCTCCGCGGGGAGTCATAAAGGGTTCATTCATAAAAAGTTATGCGTCCATTATGCCTGGATTTTCACACACTG